TGTCAGAGTCACTGCAGTGCTGAGAATGATCCACCACCCAAATAGTACATGCTCTGTGGTGGTCCTGTGGGGGTCCTGAAGAACAGGGTGAAAGGGGGCTGACAAAGTATGCAGAGAAATAGATGGACTTCAGCCTGTAATTGTAGATCTATAAGCATTTCACATCATACCCCTCTGAATCTTAAGCATAAACTTATGCAGAAATTTTGAAAAATCAGCAGAATTTCCTTTGAACTCCTGCTTCAGTTGAAACCTCCTAGCTGCACTACAGTCTGAATGTTCAGCTTTTTTTCCTGCTGTGCTTGGAGCCTCTCTGTTGCCGCAGCAGAGTCTCCATGATGACAGATTGCGAGCCACCTGATATCCTTCATCCTCCCCAGCGGAGATGTGTGTTCCGCCCCGCGCTGCTCCTGGTGGACCAGGCGAGCAGCCGGCGCGTTTGATGGGCGATAGGAAAACACATCTGCTCTCCCTGGCTTCGCTCTCGCGCACCAAAACAACATAAACAACCTGCACTCGCCTTCCTCTGATCACGTCCCAGCAACTCTCCCAAAGCCTGAAACTTCTGATCGCCCCCAAAAACCCAGCAAGAACTGGCTTCCCATCATCACTTGAACCCGCTGAGGTTCTGCCACGGGAGTCACCGGAGAGACAACTGACTGAAATGCTTCGATAAACATGTTTAAGTAATCTGACACTGATGGGAATAGGATGATGTACCTGTTCCTTTCTCCATGCCAATGAGCTCAAACATGTTTTATGTCTGAGCTTTTTAAAATGTCTGCAGAATTCATCATTGTTGAGATGTAAACAAACTCATTCAGAGGGTTTTATGTGAAATGGTTCACTGTAGAGAAACTTACCAGCTTTCTTTACAGTGGTGGTGACAGGAACCAGGGGTTGTGATGTATTTAGCCATTTAGCCATTTTATTTATGTCCAAAATGACCTGTGAACCTACATATGTCTTTATGTGTGATGTTGATAATGGTAAAACAGTGGAAAGTAAGTTTTCTTTGGGGACTATTGTACTTCACATAACTCTGCATTTAAAGTTATGTTTTTGTACAAAATCTATCTCAAAACCATCATAAAACAGTGTTGAAGGAATCAAGCAATGTATTCATAGCCAGTTTGTGTACTAGCTTTCTATGATGTCACTTTTAAAAAACATGAAATGATAGGTTGTCTGGTTCCTATCACCACCACTGCACAATTCTGACTTAACCCCCTAAATGGCCAGGGCCCACAGGTGAGCCAAAACCTAACCTAAGAATAGCTCAACCAGTTTGCACTGAAGTCCCAATAGTTAGTGAAAAATAAGCCTTAGTATGTAAAAAGCCTTAAATTTTGAGGGGTTAACAAACTGTTAACTGTTTGAAAGAGATCAATAATACAGCCTGACTTGCTGCAGTGACCGATGCTAGTTTTATTACCATGTTATGTATAGCTATACAGTCATTTTGCTATTTTTATAGTGATTAATGACTTAAATGGCAAAGTTTTATTTATCTTCTCTAACCTACAAATTGATCAGCCAGTTTGCATTGAAGTCCCTGAAGTTACTGAATAATAAGCCTTGGTATGTAAAAAGCCTGGGACTTTAAGAGGTTAAGTTTCTTACATCAAAACAAATCTGAATAACTTTGTTTACATCCAAACGGTTTATTCATTTAACATCTAAGCCGCTTATCTTCCTGGGTCACGGGGTGGGGGCGGTTGGGGAATTGCTGGAGCCTATTCCAGCAGACATTGGGTGGAAGGCAAGAAACACCCTGGACAGGTCGCCAGTCCATCACAGGGCAGACGCACAGACATACACAATCACACACACATACACATTCACACCTAGGGGCAATTTAGTGTGTCCAATTTGCCTGACCGCATGTCTTTGGACTGTGGGAGGAAACCAGAGCACCCAGAGGAAACCCACAAAGAAATTCAAAATGTAGAATTTTTTAGAATTCCCCTTTTCAGTTCCTACACACTTATGAATATGATTCTTCAAGGTTTCTTTAGTAACGGCAATGGTTCTTTTTAGAACCGTCAGTTCTACATAGAACAATTTCATGCTTAATGGCTCTTTGCATGGTGAAATGTTTCTTCAGATTGCTGGAGAATGTGTTGTACATTGTTTTATATCGAACCTTTTTGAAAATGGTTCTATGTAGCATGAAAAAGTGTTCTGCTATTGTTAAGATGTCAAGCTTGTAACAATAGAAGAACCCTTTTTTGGTGCTATATAGAACCATATAAAACACATTCTCCATCAATCTAAAGAACCATTCCATTATATCCCTCTTGTCACTGGGGTGGTACCCTCAAGGGTACATCTCAGTACCTTTAGTCAGGGAACATAACTGCACCATAATCCATTGAAATTATATTTTCTAAGTTGTACTGACTCCACACACCCCGTCTCGCCTCCAGGCCTTTTATTTTATTGTTCTGTTTTAAAACATTAGGTTATAAAAAAGGTACAAATACGTACTTTTCACCTGGAAAAATGTATTTAAGGCACACAACTGGACCTTAAAACCACTGCTGTACCTTTGAGGGAACATTTACATTGTTTGTACCTTGATGAACGAAAAATGACAGTGTTCTATCAGTCTTCATAGAACTCATATTGCTGAAAAGAACCACTGCTTTTACCAAAGAACCTTGAAGTGTGTATAAATAAGCCTCAAGTGTGTATGCTGATAGATGGTTGATATGATGATGTGTTACTATTATTGTGATCAATTTTGTCATGATACATTTTTCTGAGTATATCGTGGGTAAACACTGCACTTCTAGAACATTAAACAACTACATGAATCACAAAAAAAATTGATTTAGACCAATTAAAGAGAGCCTGTAAACAACAACAATCAGTGCATAGTAACTGCATAAACTGCATAGTAACACGTAGCTGACTGGATGTTAGCCTATCATCTCAAAAGTCATTATTATTATTATTATTATTATTTTACAAATTATTAGAATTTCCTCCTGTACCTTTTAAGTTAATTCTTGCAAACACTGAAAGAAAATAAATGCTTTAGTACTTAAAAATAGTTTTTATTGCCATTTAAAAATGCCTTACTGTTGCGGTTTGTCCACTCCAAATTGCTTGCAAAGCTCAGAAGAGTTAAATATCATGATGCATATTGTAAATAGTGTCTTCAAGTATCACAATGTTATATTTTTTGCCGTATCGTCCGAGTACCCGAGGAAGTTTTCATACCTTTTTTATTTACTCACATTCTTTCTGCACTTTCTGAACTACTTCTACTTCATTGAAGTACCTATACTTTTACCTCAGTATGATTTACTCTGCCCACTTCTGACTGTATGAACATCCCTCACAGTTAATGCATAATCCTAGCACACAGCTGCATTGGTTACATTTAAAGCACTTCAAGCTGATCTTGCCCACAAATCCATCTCTCCAACCCATCAGCTACACCTGCGCTCTGCCCAAAATTAAAAGCAGCCCACAGATTTTGTGTTAAAAGTGTCATTGCATTTTATATTCATGCCATTTTATATGTGTTTTCCCTCATTTCCAGGAATATTTCCATCTCTTATAAAGATATCAATCATACTGCACGTTGTCAAAACCTATATCGCCACATCTTTACACTTGGTTTGCAAATGGAGAGTTTAATATCCTGCTTCTGTGATATCAGGCAGGCACATCAAGTGGGACCTTTTTTTTTCTTCACCACAGCAATTTCAAGAATGTCCCAATGAATTTTGTGCCAGCAGTGAAAAAAGGGAAGTCTGAGATAAGTGATAAGCACATCCATTGCCATCTTAAGGAAGCCTTTAGCTTTTAATTCAGAGTTTCTCAATGTCAGAAGTATGATTAAGTATGATTCTTATTAGTAATAGTAAAATGTACAAACGTATAAAATGTTTGTAAATTCAAATTTCATTGTAAGACCTGTATTTAAGCATGTGAGATTTCAGTTCTTAATAGGGCAAATTTGTGGTTTTTCACAGTTAACTTGAATGGATGGAGCATTTTTTGCTGGTGTGTAATTCAAACCTGTAATGACTACAATTGAAACTTGACAATTATAATATTTTTACTTAAAATGCAACCAATGCTAACAGTAATTGTTAGTAGGTGCTCTCATTAAAAGGGGACTCAACTGACTTTTCCAAATCTCTGCATAATTAAATGATTAACATGTCAACAAAGTCATTCAGAGCAGTCTGGTGTGAAATGCTCTGCTCTAGAGAAACTTACTGAGTCAGAATTGTTCATAGTGGGGGTGATAGGAACCAGACGTCCACCTCTAGAAGCTCCCTCACAGAAAGTTACTACATGAAATGGTTATAAATACATTGCCTGATGTCTGAGACATTGTTTTATGGTAGTTTTGGTCTAAGACATATTTTAATGCTTTTATTTTAATTTATTCATGGTGGAGGGATACAAGGGTGTTCTAAGGCAAAATAGTCCCCAAAGAAAATTTATTTATTTATTTATTTATTTATTTATTTTATTGACAATTATTTTACCGTCATCAGCATTACATATGAAAACTCAGAAGATTCGTTGCTGGTTTTGGACAGTAAATGAACTGGCTATATTTGCATTGTAGACATTGTGACCCCTGGTTCCCATCACCACCACTGTAAGGAAAGTGTCAGTCAGTAAGTTTCTCTACAAATGAACCATTTCGCATCGAACCAATGACTTTCTTTATATCTCAGCCACTGAACTATGTAGAAATTTTGAAAAATCGGTGGATTCCCCCTTTTAGATGAATTGGGGAAAATCCACGAATTCTTACTAGTGAGAAGAGTAATCCCTCCTAGTAAACACGGGCTGCGTCCAAAACCGCATACTACCGTACTAAATAGGATGTCAAAACATTAGCAGTACACTCATTAGTATAGCATGTAGAGCTTGGCAGGCTGTGGTTTGGGACGCAGCCTCCAACTGAAGTCCGTTCGTCCACTAGAGGGAGAGAGAGTTTCAGCTCCTTCTTCTCTCGGCTCCTCTTTTCCGTCTCACCTGCTCTCTTTGACTGAAATAACATGGCTGCGTCCTGAAAACACGCGTCAACAAACACAGCACGCTCGTCGGGAGTGATTTTTAGAGAAATACCTCTTCTTCCAGCGGCTGATAACGTCGGTCGGTCATACCGGATGGCTCTTCGTGTGAGCGAGTCCTTTCTGAGGAGATGTCTGCGCTCTTCTGCCCGACCGTTACTACTGGAAACCGCGTCACTGCGTCCGCGAGCAGGTCACGAGCGCTAACGCTGTCGCTAGTGCTAATGCTAACAAGCCCCGTACATTCACATAACATTCAGAATATGTGCAGCTCAGCGTCGTATATCTGATTTAACCACTTGACTAACCGGACTCTTAGGTCAGGATTAATATTAACCTGGTGTAGGCTGGGTTTACGTGGTTTAACATGTTGTAGAAAGTTTAAAGATAAGCTTTAATCGTAGCTTAGATTCGTTTGTGTCTATAAAGGAGAAGGACAATTCCAGCAGTTTTTCAAAATTTTCAAAAGTCCTTGAGATGTAAAGTCATTCAGATTGGTTTGACGTGTTCATTGTGGAGAAACTCTGTTTTCTTTACAGTGGTGGGGATAAGAACCAAGGGTCACGATGTTTACAACACAAATACAGCATTTCATTTACTATCCAAAACCACTAGTTTTGATATCGTTGATAATGGAAAAATAGTCATGAATCTGAAAAAAATGTTTTCTTCAGGGACTGTTTTGCATCACAATGCCCTGCCTGTATCTCCCTGCCATGAATGGGTTAAAATAAATGGATTCAAACATATTTTAAGCCAAAACATTATCAAAATGCTATCATAAACAATGTCTCAGGCATCAGGCAGTGAATTCATAACCATTTAATGTGATAACTTTCTGTGAGGGAGCTTTTAGAGGTGGACGTCTGGTTCCTATCACCTCCACTATGAACGATTCTGACTCAGCAAACCACTTTGCTTACATCTCAACCATTTATTTAAGTAGAATTTTTGAAAAGTCAGTGGAGTTCCCCTTTAAATTTTGGCTTTGCTAACTGGTAAACTGACAGACTGTCAGATGTTTTGGAGACTTGATGTTTACTATGGCATTGCTGGTTGCTTTAAGTTACCTGTGAGGCAGGTCTGGTTGCTGAAACCTCTCTTTAACTTCTTATCCTTCAGCCCTTCATCCTGGAGCACTAAGCGGAGGTGGTTTTCTTGTCACTCCAGCCCGTTCTGTGTCCTCCAGCGCATTTTTGGACAGGCTGCTAAAAGGAAAAATGCCTGGTGTGGATCAGGGACCCTGCCAGCAACCTGTGCCTCCGGATAGAGGTAATGAATTTCTATGTGCACTGTAAAGTGCAATTTACAGTCTTTAGAAACAGGTGTTTGGATGTTGAGATGTTACCTTGGCACTGTGTTGTGGTCATAAAGCTTGATTTCCCTTCTTGTTTTGCTCCCAGCTGGGCAGCTTTCTCTGTTACTGAGGGCCCCAGATCAACCAGAAAATCCAAAGTCTCTGAGAGTGGCTGTTATTGGGGCTCCAAATGCAGGGAAGTCAACACTAACCAACCAGCTCCTTGGCAGGAAGGTACTGTTTCAGTTGTTCAGAATTCTTAAAGTTTGTGATGGTGGTTTTGATTTTAACCTTTTAAATTTTTTCAACAGTTGTTTGCAGTCTCCAAAAAAGTGCATACAACAAGGTCACGTGCACTTGGAGTGATCACGGAGGACGATACCCAAATTGTAAGTGTTTGTGTTGCACTCAAGAAGACACTTGTTATTGTTGGTTTATACAAGACTGAGTAGTTTCAGAATGTAACCAGCAGTACTGGATATTTTCTTAATGTTTACCAGAGCTTAATGTATGACTATATGATATTGAAGTGGGACAGCTAGTGATAAATATCATCTTTCTGTCTCCAAATGATCAGATTCTGCTGGATACGCCTGGTCTTACTACTCCCTTCAAAGTTCAAAGGTGCGTTGCTTGATAATAAGGGAAAAGCCTTGAAAACGTATTGATTTATTTTATTAGGAAAGGGCAAGAACCTTGTTCAGAGGTTAGAAGTAAAAGCTGGGTATAGTCACAGCTCTTTGAATAAATGTATAATTAGTATAATTCGTAAATATTATTATGTACACCACTAATAACTTCTGAAAAAATCTGATAATCTCCAGTTTCTTCTCTGCAGGCATCAGTTGGAGAAATCCCTTCTAGTGGATCCACTGAAATCATTGCGAGAAGCTGATTTAGGTAGCTATATCTACGCTGAGTTCTACAGATTAGGGGATGGTTTTAATATACATGGCATATATATTTTTCAGTGGTCGATGGTTGAGTAAGTGGCAGGTAGCTCTCTATTAACTGCTGGGATCTTTCATTGGCAGTGGTGGTGTTGGTGGACATCTCTGACAAGTGGACCCGCGATAGGCTGGACTTTGAGGTGCTGAAGTGTCTGGCCCTGAATCCACATATTCCTGCTGTCCTTGTCCTCAATAAGGTAAACTATATTACACATACCCACAGTCAGGTGACAGAATAAAGACTTTGATAAATGAGTGAAGAAGCAAAACAAGTGCAGACAAGTGTACCTGCCAGGCCCAGTTGATGTCAGTTTTGGATCAATGTCATAAAAGGAAAACATCTAAATGGCTTCGAAAAAGGGTTCAGTCATTGGGGCATGGATGGCAGGAGCTTTCAGTCACAAAGACTGCTAAACTCATTGGTGTTTCAGTAGGAACGGTAAGAAATTAAGGTTCTGTGCAGGTACATTTTTTGTTCGTCAAGGTACAAACAATGTAAATGTTCCCTCAAAGGTACAACAGTGGTTTTAAGGTCCAACTGTGTATCTTAAATAAGTTTTCTAGGTGAAAAGTATGTATTTATTCCTTTTTAAAATCGAATGTTTTAAAACAGAACAATAAAATAAAAAGCCTGGAGACGAGACGGGGTGTGTGGAGTCAGTACAACTTAGAAAATATCATTTCAATAGATTATGGTACAATTATGTTCCCTGACTAAAGGTACTGAGATGTACTCTTGAGGGTACCACCTCAGCGACAAGAGGGGTACAGCCCCAGTGACAATTTACTACCTTTATTTCTGGGAGTGTAGGAAAGACATCAGCAAATACGTTAGTAATTGTGAAACCTGAAGAGCAGCTGTTCCTCAGGTGACTGAGAACGTCAGTGCAGGACATGATCAGACGGTCAGCAAGAACAGTCCATCCACAGCTACATAAAGAGGGATATAATAGTAGGACTGCAGCAAATTATCATTACAAGGAAAAATGCAGATTTGAGAGTATAACGGTGTAAAAACCATAGATACTGATCTGCATAGGTGTGAGTGAAATGGTCAGATGAGTTATTCATGATCATATTCACAAGTAGGATAGTGCATGTGTGTATACCAAGGGAACAGTACAGGTCTGAATGCTTGAGTGAAGAGGTCTGGTGGCTCTATCATGCTGTGGGGGGGCATTTTGCTGGCATGCTTTGGATCCATTTGTCCCTTAAGACTACAAAGAAACATTTCTATCATGATCAGAGCGTTCTCTTCCAGGATGACATTGTCATGCATGAGTGAATGGTTTGATAAGTATGAAAACGATGTAAATAATATGGCCTTTACAGTCAACAGATCTCAATGCAGTTGATCATCTCTGGAGATTTTGGACAACCTTGTTAGCCAGTGCTCTTTACTGCCATTATCTAAACACCAGCTGAAGGGAGATCTTTCGTATGAATGGTTTTCTGTCCCTCCAGTACAGTTTTAGAGACTTGTGGAATGTATCCCAAAGCGCCACTGTTCTGGTGGTTTGTGGGGGCACATACCTTTGATCTGTTGTCAAAAACCACATAAGCAAGTCTGTTTGAGATTAATTAACGACTCCGCATGGTTTGAGGCAAGTGTGCAATGATTTAGGCATGCAGTTTGCACATTGCTAAGTGGTGGTACTAAATTAGTCTCTTAGTTCCAGTGCAAAGCTAGAGAAACACACCTCAGATACTGAATATGTCTTGGCTGATTGACAGCATTTAGAGTAAATGCAAACTGTGGGAACTGTGTACATTTGATTTTTGAATCATTTTTTTAAGTAGATACAATAGATACCAGGTTTCAGTTGTAACTGATGCATCATCTGTTGTAACCATGGCACTTTAATCTTATATTATCAGAATTTGTATTTGTTGTAAATTTAAAATTATTGTAATCTATTTTTATTTAGTAAACCTGAAGTGGAGTTTAGATTTTCACTCAGAACAAGTCTGTGAGTAAACTGGTGTGGTCAGATATTCAGCATTTAAATATTTGTTCCGTATTTGACCGTGTCTCACGTGCGCATACACACAGGTGGACCTCCTGAAGAACAAAACCTTGCTGCTGGACATCACAGCCAGGCTGACCGAGGGTGTTGTGAATGGTCAGAGACTGAGAGTCCGCGATGTGGTGAAGAAGTCGCAGAAGGAAACAGATGAGATGCAGATCAAGCACAAAGCAGCCCTGGAGGCCCAAGCTGGAGGGGAGCCATGCCCAACCCCAGACACTCAAGCCCAGAGAGGCCTGAGCAGAGAGCAGCTGAGAACCCTGAAGAGCCGCAAAGGATGGCCCCACTTCAAGGATGTGTTCATGCTGTGTGCTGCAGATGGGGAGGACGTGGAGACACTGAAGGTAGAAGGCAGCATGGCGCTGTAGAGCCGGGTTCTTCATGCATATTGGAACACATTTTATCTTTGCTATCATTCAAAGTTTGGAATCAGTTGTTATATTAATAATTGAATTCATTCTGTAACCAGTTTTACAGTGTTCAGAGCTGTACATTTTTTTAGGTTTTTGAGAACATGAAGAACAATAGTAGTGGGCTAATGACCAAAAATGGCCAGTAGCCAAAATTGTATATCCTTGTATAATAAAAAAAATACTGTGTGTGATGTATACATACACTATATGGACAAAAGGATTGAGACACGCCTATTAATCATTGAATTCATGTGTTTTATTCAGTTTTATTGCCACAGGTGTATAAGATCAAGCACCTAGCTATGCAGTCTGCCTTTAAAAACATTTGTGAAAGAATGGGTCGTTCTAAAGAGCTCACTGCATTAGAGCGTGGTACTGTAACAGTTCGCGAAGTTTTTTCCCTCCTAGATATTCCACGATCAACTGTGAGTGGTGTCATTGAAAAGTGGAAGCATTTAGGAACCACAGCAACTCGGCCACGATGTGGCAGACCACGTAATGCAACGCAGCTGCATGCCAGCCTTACATCACCAAGCGTAGGATGAATTGGTGTAAAGCGCCGCCACTGGACTCTGGAGCAGTGGAAACATATTCTGTGGAGTGATCAATTACACTTCTCTGTCTTCCAGTCTGATGGATGAGTCTGGTTTTGTGAATGCCAGGAGAACATTACCTGCCTGACTGCATTGTGCCACCTCTAAAGGCCCTTTTTGTTCCAGCATGACTGTGACCCAGTGCACAAAGCAAGGTCCATAAAGGCGTGATTGGGTGAGTTTGGTGTGGATTAACTTGACTGGCCTACACAGCTCTGACCTCAACCCCTTTGAATATTTTTGGGATGAACTAGAACAGAGATTGTGAGCCAGACCCTCTCGTCCAACATCAGTGTCTGACCTCACAGATGCTCTTCTGGATGAATGGGCAAAAATTCCCAAAGACACACTGCAAAATCCCAGAAGAAGCTTTCTACAAGTAGAAAGCTGTTACAGCTGCAAAGGGGGACGAACTCCATATTAATGGCTATGATTTTTGAATGGGATGTCATAAAAACTCCTGTAGGTGTAATGTGTAGGTGTCCCAATACTTTTGTCCACATAGTGTGTGAGTGAGTGTATGTATATATTTTGTTTTTGTTTTTGTTTTTTTGTATGGATTGCTCTAGATCATGTGTTGGCTTCTGTTATGGATGACTTGAAAAACCTATGAGCTGGATTAGTTACCACTTTCTTTGTCACGTCTGCTAAATGACAATGTAAATCTATGCCTGTTGGTTTGACAGAGATATCTGATGGTGGCTGCAAAGCCAGGCCCATGGCATTACCACAGTGACGTACTGACAGATCAGAGCCCAGAGGACGTCTGCGTCAATGCAGTCCGAGAGAAGCTTCTGGAATACCTTCCTCAGGAGGTGCCTTACACCATGTCTCAGGTAATGCCTTTCTCGGCCCTCCTGATAATGACGTTTTCACACAAACTCACTCTGTCACAGTCCTAACTGCCTTTAGTCCAAAGATTTGTGGACACCTGTTCATCTAACATTTGTTCTGAAATCAAGGGTATTAAAATTAATCTTTTGGGAAGGCTTTACACTAGATGTTGGAACATTGCTGTGAAGATCTGATTGTATTCAGCCACAAGATTTTTAGAGAGGTCAGGTACTGATGTTGGATGATAAGTTCTGGATCACAAACGCCATTTAAACTTATGCCAAAGGTACTGGAAGGAGCTCCATCACTCTAGAGAACGCAGTTCTAGCTGATACTTGGCATTGGGCATGGTGACCTTAGGCTCATGGATGGCTGCTTTAAAGCCTCGCATTCTTATAGTAAGGCATAAGTTATGAGTGCCTATTTCAGCCGTGGGTGCAACCCTAAAGTAGCAGAGCTCACTAATTAAAAGCGATGTCTGGATACTTTTGGCTATATAGTGCATCCATTTTGTTTCTTCAGTTTCTTTTCCTTTACTACACATTCTCTGCCTGCTCTGCCTTTATAACATTAAAGGTGACCTTCACTGGAGAGAAATAAAGGTTTTGAATGTCAGCAAAAAGGGGGGGGAATCTTTGCAACACCCCACCTTTGTTCTCTCAGAATTTTTCGCATTGCTGGAACAGTCTTTGTGCTGACTCCCGTCGTCTTGCCGTCTGTTTTGTAGCACATTGAGCTCTGGAGAGAGACCGAGGATGGCAAGTTGGACATATCTGTCAAATTACACGTGAAGAAGAACAGCCATATGGTGAGAGAACTGCTTTTTTTTGTTCTTTTTCTTTCCACAAAAGCACTTTCATCCTCTGACAGTGCCGTTACCTTGATTCCAACAAGGCTCCCAGAGAGATATGCGGTAAGAGAAAACATTTGAATGGAGCTCGGTAAAGAATGGTAAATATTTGAGAAGATTCCTTTTGTAAGTCATGCAATTTTAACAAGCAGAAGTCAGTGAAAGTGTGCTTGGTGTTGTTAAGTCACTGTAGAAAGGAATTGCTACAGCTTTTTTAAAGTCTCTGATGAATAGCCATTGACAACTGGGGATTCAGAAGAGCTTTATGTTGTGTTTTTTTTTTTTTCTTCTATTTATTTGACTCTTCTTTTTTTCTTCTTTCATAAACAGACCATGGTGATTGGTCCTGGAGGTCAGGTAATGGCCAAGATAGCCCGAGAGGCAGGCGAAGACCTCACGAATGCTTTCATGCGCGAGGTGCGTCTGAAAATATCTGCCACTCTGAAGAACTGAAGGGGACGGTTCAGCTGACCCAAGGATCTGGAACAGGACATTTTCTAAAGGATGACTTCAGATGTCGTTACTCAACCAGCTCCCTCATCCTGTTTATAGGACCTCAGCGTATATATATATATATATATATTCATTCCCTCATCCAGAGTGGAGTGAGTAAATCATTGTTGAATCTCTCTCCCTCTCAGGAAGGAAGAGGTCTACTCAAGGCTGCGGTTTGTCTTGCGAGTTGCATGCGAACTGTCTGCCTGTTATCTCAAACACTGTTCATTGTGTAACAGTTCAGCCTCTGAGTTAGAGGTTCCTCTCTGAACTCAAACTGCTATTTTCTTTAGTGTCTTGTTGCTTTTCTAGCAGTTATATACAACTGCTTCATTTTGATAACATTATTCAGGGCTGCATCATGACCACGTTAGTCCCCATGAAAAAAAGCTCAGGTTTTTTGGGGTAGATTGACAGTAGTGGTTACAGTTGTAGGCCTTGCTGTACCCAAACTTTGTTTTTTTGGATTAGAAACTGGGCAACTGTGTATAGTAGTGTGCAAAAGTCAGAGACCACCCTTAATTAATTTAATTTCCAGTCCAAATGGCCATTAAGCACAAGTTATTCATTTTTCAGCATGGAAGGAAGTCTTCGCAGAGTGGAAGGATGGACAGAAACACCTGTGGATGTTTTCAGATCTGAAGCAAGAGTGGAGCTTGATTTTCTCCTCTCTTTCAAAGATGAAAGCTTTAAGTGTTGTTTATCTGATGAAGACAATTTTGGTGGTCTACCAGGTCTTACGCTGTTGTTAGGAAGATCTGTTTTTAAAAAACAGTTTAGGAATTTTTTTTTCTTCTATTTTCTTTTGACTTATGAAATATCTCCTGAAAAATAAGTAAGTTATATTTAGCCATTTAAAAAGAAAAATAAATAAATGAAAAATGATCTCTGACTTTTGCACAGTGCTATAGATGTGCCATTATTGTTTATTACAGAAATTCTTGGGTTACTGTACACTTTTGGCATAAAGGGTTCTACATAATATAGAAAAATGGTTTTATGACTTATGAAAATAGCCCATTTCTGTTAGAGATGTTTTTCACAAGGTTCTTTAAAGAACCATATACAGCAGGTTCTTTATCATGGGGAAGAACCATTTAACCATTCAAGAATCACACAATGATATCGCTGCTGTCCGGACAAAAACCTTGTATCTCCATTTTTGTTGTTGTTTCAGTTTTTGACGTAATTTGAAAATGTCTGTTGACCCTTACATTGTGTGTTAATTTCATGATGAATGGACCAAAAGAAACAGCCAAAAAAGTGGGAAAAAAGTCTGGTTCCATTGACTTACATTAAAAGTAAAGTGTGTTTTTTCCTGTAAAGTTACCATTTTGGAGATACAAGGTTTTGTTCCGACAGCAGCGATATGGTTCTTTGACTTGTCTAATTTCTATGTAGCCTCCTACTTTGTTGTTTGTAAGCTCTTTGCTGTGTTGGCTGCCTTTCTCCATCTCTTCTCTCACTCTCAGACTCTGTTTGAAAGCTGCTGGAGCTTAACTAAAGGCACAGTCCCAGAGGGCTAGATTACCCCTCTAATGGAACACAAAATGGAGCACTAACCTGCCGCTAAAATTGGCACAAAATGGCGATGGGATGCATTTGCGCATTTGTTCTTGTAATCCCCCACTCCCCAGTCGAGTTTTGCTGGTGGTCACTCTTTATCCAGGCCATGATGATGGATCAGCTATGCCAGAATTCTGTCTCTCACCCCCCCCTTTTCCTCCCACTCTCTCTTTTCTTGCTGTGTCACTTCTGAGTTCATTGAGGTCTGTGAGGAGAGGCCTTTTTAATTAAAAAAAAGGCAACACAATTTAATACATTGAGCCAAAAGCTCAGAAAATCACTGGTATTTATTTTCTCATTAATATTTAACAAAGTCAGTTTGACTGTATATTGATATGTAAATAAATTGTCAAGGGTTCCTGATTCAAGTACATGTTTATTGAACATCAGAACTTATTAAAAACAGCTGTACTGAAGTTGGAAACATGTTCACAAACAACATTTAAATTATTTAAAAAACTTTTTTTTTTACTCTTTCATTTGCTCTATTAATTTCTCCATTATACTATGCAGTCCCCACGGTTCAGCTCCACACTTCTGGCCTGAGGTCGATTTCCAGAACGATGGCAGTGAGAAGAAGCAAGAGAACCCTTACCATTACTAAACTCAGTAATGGTAACGGTTTAACCGCCTCCCTCTATCACAGAAAGTGCATGCGTGTGTGGTAGACCACAGAGGAGGAATGCCACCCTGGATAGTACATCATCTATACTGTAGTGTCTCCATAATGAACTTACAGTATATGATGATATCCTGTCCAGAGGACAGTATTATGACTCAGGATGGCTTGGGAATCTGTAGAACTGGAGCATTCTGTGAAGAAAGCATAAGAACAGAAATGAAAAATTTGGTTCAGGGGGGTTGAGTATACTCAGAATGTCCTCAGAGTAAACAAAGCTGTATATATATTTATAATGTAATTACATTATAATTTCATTGTAATGTTATAACAATATTGCAATCAAGCTATGTAATTATAATGTAGTTACTTTATAATTCCATTGTAATAATAGTGTATAACATAGTACATTATATTGTAATTATATGCATGCGTGTATCTTTATGGGCCCTCAATTGTCCCATGTTCAGCAGACGTGTCCTACCAGAAAATCCCTTTCCAAACATTTGCAAAGTCACACTTGCGGTCAGATTCGTCACACTTAATTGGCTGCCTGAACTAAGAGCAGTTGTTTACTTCTTGTTTCTGTACTCACCTTTAGGGTCACTTGTCCTTGCTCCTCTTGAAGAAGGTGTTAATGAACAGCTTAATTACTCTCGTTCGACACCTTCCCTCGTCTTCTTCCCTTTCTTTATTTCTCGTCTATAGGCTTGGTGTCTCCGTTCTCTTCCCAGACCCCCCAACAGCTCTCTAGAACTTCTCCCCCCACTGGCTCACCATTTTAATGGCCCTTACTCATTTGCATATGGTGATGACACAAGGGCAGTCTCGCTCTTATCTGGCTTCTCCTGTCTTGCCTTTCGCCCAATCGGGTCACTCTGTTCTATCAGCCTCAAAACAGTTACTCCAACCCCAGCTATCCCGCACGTGAGGACACGCCTTTGGGTCACCCAACTTTAACTTGGAATTGGATCAAAAACTTGAACATTATAAGTTAATGCTGAATTTGTTTAATATGGCTGCATTATGTTAGTTCAATGCCTTGAGCTGAAAGTCCCTTGTTAATATTTATATATATGCTACGCTGGCATCAAACTGCATTATGCACTGCCTTCTTTCTGATTACATTAAAGCCCATATTAAATAAGTTATCTTTAAAGCAGAGCAAAAACTGTTCTTCTGTGAGTTAGAAATGAAATGCTTGAATGACTGTTTATTCATTCTCCTTGTTTCCTGATGGAATTTCCAGCAGAATTGTGGTCATATTCAGAATGATCACCTTCAGTTCTTCATTCCAATGATCACTTGTTTGCCTTGAACTGGACGTTTCTAGTGAAACGTGAAATTGTAATTGAAATATTTTTCTTGCTGTTTCAGAAGCTTGTGAAATTATTGTAGTACACTTACATGGATAAGTATGTACCCAGTGTTTGCTGAGGCACAGCAGGGTTCTGTAGAAGCTGCCTACCTTCACCACAGATCTACAGTCAGTTTTGAAGGTTCTCCTAATTGCTGAAGTGGGCCTATTAAAAAAGGTTTCTGAATGATTCTGGCCTTGGATTTGGGGGTGAACAGACTAAAGAACCAGTAATGCCATGTTTACTATCAAAAACTGTCACAGTGACTTTTATTCATCATTTCACGCACTGCACTAAATCCAATTAAACAGGACTAATCATGCTTTCTTTGTAATGCAAAATGTCCTTTAAATACTGACATCATCCATGATATGCCTAGAAAAGCATGTTGTACCATAATATGACATAATGTATCACTTTAATGATAAATATTGTCATATTGTCCAACCTACTTTAACTATGCTACAACTTATTGGTGGGCAATATAACAAAAGTCAAATATCACAATATGTATCACGATATTTATTTTTTTCTTAGATTTGATGACTGAGAACTGACAAAAAAGAACTAGTCCTAATAGTACTAGTACTAATCAAAAGCTGAATTTACTTATTGTTTCACATACTTCACAGCATCTAGAACTAATTAAAAAGGCTAATTATTTTGCTCTCTTTCTAATCAAACACACAGTCAGTGTTCTGGTCAGAAAAGTGTACAATAATGTGACACGATTTAGCACAAAACAATAACATTGCCCCCCGACACTCTTAGCAGCAAAGGTTCTATGACATAACAATAGCAGAACCCCTTTGGGAGCTACAGTCATATGCAAAAGTTTTGCCACCTCAAATTACATGTTTTGTTAACACGTCCTCTACAGAGAACACACTTCTACACGTTTTTATGCAGAATTGCTGTTTACTTTCAGATTAAACATATTGGAGAAAACAAATGAACATAAAATGTGGCCTGAGAGAAAGTTAAGGTACATTTTATTCATTCATTCATTCATTCATTCATTTAAATAGATTTTTCCAGGTATGTTAAACTCAGCAAACAAGTACAAATTATTCACAAAAATTTGCAGAAAAATGTCATTCACTGTTTGTTCACTGTAGAAGATGTTAACTTATTTTCACTTAGAAAGTCAACAACACGTAATTTTATGAGGGAACATTCAAACTTGTGCGTACAGCTTCAGAACCAACTTTTAAAAGGCTCTTTTAAAGAACCATATACATGTTTTTCATCATGGTGAAGAAACGTTTATGCATTCAAATGCTTCTTTGTCACGGTTCTATAGATAATCCTTGCTTTTACTAAAGAACCCTTGAAGAACCACTTTATAAAGGGTGTACTAGCAGATCTCGTTTACAAATATGGCTCTTTGTAGAACCGTCCACTGAAAGGTTCTTCAGGATCCCAAACGTGGCACCTTTATTTTTAAAGAGTCTAAACCTGAGCACAGTTCAGTATGTTATCTCAATGTCTGTTATTTCCTCAAAAGCAAACCTAGACAGTAGTCTAGTCCTCAACACTAGTTTAAGTTTGCCAGTACTTCATTCTTCCAAACACCACTTCTCCTTCAACTGCACTTTGTACTAGAAATTGTAATCTAATTGCTTCAGTTCACATCTGCAATATAAGTTGAGGCAGAGTTACTCTGAAGCTGCCTTCACAACAGTTCTGTGATCAGTTGTGAAGGTTCTATCTGATCACTGTAGCGGGCCTGAAGCATCTAGATCAACCTATCTCTGCATCTTCACCTAGCAAGCCTATGGGCTGGTGTAGCAGTGACCCCAGTTGATTGTCTTAGATTCAGGCTCCCCAGTTTGGGTGGGGTGAGTAGGGGGTGTCGTGCACGGCCAGACAGAACAGCAAGATAAGGACTTGGGAGCTCTATCAGCCGCGCCAGTACGCAAACCCGCTGGCCATGCTGCTCTTTATCTGCTCCCTCGTATAGGTGGAAGTTTCCACGAAGGGAGGAGATTCTTGTGGCCAGTCAGACATGAAGACAACTGGACACGGCCTTGCAGAAAGTGCCTTTGATGAAAGGACATGGTCTAAGTTTACATGTTATACAGCACTGAACCTTACCGCCGTTAACCCGCTGCCCCTGCTAATTTGATACTGTTGTAGTTTCAGACACAAAGCGCTAGTGAGTGCGGGTAGATACAGCCACCATGTGTTATGTATTACCGGTGATGTATATTATTTAGCCCTGTTATTAACAAAATGAGAGATTCTTTCAGAAATTATGCACACAGATACATACAGTGCAATGCAACCATCCTGATTTTGTCTATTATTGCCTATTTATCACAGACATGCGTTTAGATCTTGAAATAAAATGAAATATTAGACAGGAAAAGCCTTTTCAAATACAAAACACAGGGTTTGATTATTATCTGTTTTATTTAAGGGCATAGCTATCCAGCATGCAAATCACCCACGTGAAAAAGTTACTCAAGAATCAAACCAAATTGAATAAATATTCAGCCTCCTAGGAACATTTCTCCCAGTGATGGCTGGCTGACCAAATTCCCCCCAAAGGCACAGAGGCAAAACATCCTGGAAGTCACCAAAAGTTCCAGGAGAACATCTAAGGAACTGCAAGTCTCTCTAGCCTCAGCTAGGATCAGATGAAGACTCCACAGTTAGAAAGATCCTGGGCAAAAGTTGGCATTCATGCAAGAGCAAAGCACTGCTAATGTTTTGCTAAATCGAGACCTGGACAACTTGCTGTTATTGAGGGACCCATGTTTTCTGTTCTCATCTGAAGCTGAAACATAATTAGCTTATGCAGCGAGACTATGGTCCAAAACAGAAAAGCTGACCCTGAGAACAATACAAAAAAATTGAAGATCCCTCCTGAAGCCAATAAGGAAGCATGGTCATCTGAATAGCTGAAAGGAAAGGCAGTGAATGGTTTGGAGTGGCCTTGTCAAAGTCCAGACTTAAACCCAATAGAGATGACATAGTAGGGCCTCAATTCCTGCTTGAAAAAAACCTACCAGTTAGTACCAAACATTATAAATGTCAAGGGAGCAATTACTTTTTCACAGGGGGTGAGTCACATTTTGACTATCGTTGCTTCTTAAGGGAAATAAAATCATAATAAAACGCTTCTCTGTCTAGTACTACATCTCATTTAAGGGTCTAAAAGCATTCAGTATGACAAATATGCAGTAATAGAGGAAATCAGGAAGGGGTGAACACTTTTTCACGTGTGTGTACAGAAGGGATGTCCTGAAGCTGCCTACCTTCACCACAGAGTTAGTTTTGAAGGTTCTCCTGATTGCTGAATGATCTACACTGTTAAAAGTTAAGCTTCCTGAATGGTCATCAGCTTGGACCTACAAAAGCTGAGACGGAGACTAGTTCAGGAAGTGTAGTCCATGTTCATCAAGCTTTTCAGAGCAAGAGAGCTGATCTAAGACCATACATGCCTTATTTACGACGGCCTTATTTACTGGAACAGATCCTACATTTGTACTCCTATTATAAACACAGCCCTTGGACTAAAAATGATTTTAAATGGAGAATTGCCACTGATATTGTAATTTTAAAACTAGGTTTAATTTAAAACTGAAAATGTGGGCCTGGAGTTATAAAGCTTCTAAGAGTAGAAGTGCTGATCTAGGATCTGTTCAGATTAGTTAGGTCATATGAATAAGGCTTGATCCTATGCTGTAAACCCACATAAGTTAGCTATGCTCAGAATAATTAAGTTTTGTTGTGGAACTTAAAGGTTTAGGGTTAATTACACATATATATCACTGTCAGAACAAAACCTCTTATCTCCATTTTTGTCATTTTCAGTTTTTGACATAATTTGTACCAGTTGTACCAGTTAAAGTACCAGTTGTCCCATACATTGCTTGTAAATTTCATGATGAATGGACCGACAGAAATGACCCAAAAGTACTTGGGGGAAAAAAGTCTGGTTCCATTGACGTAATGTATTAAGTTATTAATTCCATTAATTCCATTGACATTAAAAGTAGAGTATGTTTTTCCTTCTCCTGTAAAGTTTTCAGTTTGGAGATACAATGTTTTGTTCCAACAACAGCAGTATTTATTGCATAATACTTACATTTTTGAGAAAGATAAATATTTTCTGTTGATACAACTCAAAATGTTGCATGAACTTTCAAAAGCTCAAAGTCATATGAGTGATTACTTTGTGGCAACTTAATTGGCTGGTTAATGGACTGAATCACATTTCAGGAGATTACGCTGGGGTTTTGTACTTGTGGTGCTCTAAACAAATTGTTTTCCTTCTTATTAGCCAAACAGACTAGCCTGGTGGGCATCATGTTAACTGAAACATACACCTGCAAATGCACGCAAGCCTAACCCTTAGCATGAAGATAACATGTTACAAACGTTTGAGAATAACTGATTTTAAAAAATTAAAAAAGGAAGAAGAAAATTAAAAACTAACATAAACCAACAAAAGAACTAAGAATGCCGGGAGGACCCGCCTGCTAAATCAAACAGTTAAGGCCGTTAAATATGAGTTATTAACTTTTCAAGAGATATTTCTACAACAACAACAACATTATTTATATTATTTTTATATCATTATAATATTATTTATATTTGTATAGCACTTTTTACAACTAGTGTTGTCTCAAAGCAGCTTCACAGGAAAGCAGTTTAGAAAGGATCAAGAGAAAAAAGAAAGTAAGAGAAAATAAAAAGGAGTCCATGTATCGACGTAAGGGACTGAAACCAAGCCCCCCATGAGCAAGCCCGAGGCGACAGTGGCAAGGAAAAACTGTCTTGGAGTAAGAAGAAGAAACCTCAAGAGGAACCCAGGCTCAAGGGAGGAACCTATCCTCCTCCGGTCGACCCCGGAGGAAGAGAGAACGACATAGCTAAAGAGATTTCATGACAAGATACAACAAAGAAGCTTAGAGCTTGAACATCTTTCAGAAATATTCTGATTCATCCAGGAGGAAGTAATGTAGAGTTAGAACCATCTCATAGGTTCTCAGTCAAAGTGAGAGATAGAGTTCATGATCAGTGCCAGATGCCAGATTTCTGAGTAGATTAGTTATAAAAGAATCGACTTATTTAAGAAAAGGGGAAAGTAAAGAGGAAAAAACAGGAGTTTCCAAAACTGGAGGTCAAAAATAATTAAAACCAGATAAAGATGTGCTTAAAGCTTTCATCTGTGAGAAAGAGGAGAAAATCAAGCTGCTTCAGATCTGAAAACATCCAGACAACTCAGCGATATGAGTCTGAAAGGATGTGGAGCTGTAAAGAAGACAAAAAAGAAAAGAAAACAGACAAAAAAGAAGAGCATTTGCAAATGAAATCTCAGAACAATGAACTGACCACCCCAGAGTCCAGACCTCAGCATCTTTGAATGTGTTTGAGATTACTTGGATTGCGACAAGCAGAAAATACAACGAACTTCTAAGACTGAACTTTAGAGGTGTGAACTGTTGAGACTATTTCTGTTTCCGTTAAATATGATTTTTGCTTTTTCCTGATGTGAAAAATGAATGAGCTGTACTTATTGGCTGTTTTACTGAAATAAATAATGGGTCGTCTCTGACTTTTTCAGTACTGTAACAGCCCTCTTTTTTGATATGCTAATTTCACATCTCAGCTGCTTTCTGCTGTTGTTGTTGGTCATGTTGTCCCACTCACCAAAGACCTGACCTTCCCTTTGAACGAAAGTCCAATGGCACTTTTTATTGCTTGAGAATAAACTACGAGGTGTTTGTTATGGTGGATCAACGCTCTTGACATAGACATAAGTAAGCCAAAGACACCAAGGTGGAGGAAAACACTCTTGTATTTAGAGTGTCATTACCCACACTTCCTACCATTGATGATCATGTATTCTTGGCCTTCTGTCTAGGCTGGATCAATAAAGGGGCTTTGGTGGAATCCTAGATCCTAGAGCAGTTTTCAGCCTGAGCCTGCAGTTTATAAGGTGAGAGTCTGGCTAAGTGAGGCTGATCTTAGAACAGTACAAAAGGGAACCGTCCTTCTCAAAGTCAATAAAGAAGCATGGACAGCACCTCACTTCCTGCAGTAATGAGGGGACAAACTGCTGGAGTGATTAGCACCTCATGGAGCATTTGGAGGGGCTGAAGTGACCCTGAGCCTCTGAAGTGAGGTCCCCCCCTCCTCCTCAAAAACAAGAAAGTGTGGTTCCCAGACACCTCCTGAAGCAGGACGAAGCCCAAACCGTGAGGCGAGAAGATAGATCAAAGAGGATGTTTGGGATTGGTGTTCTAGCAGACATACAAACACCTCTTTCATGTGGGAAGGACGAGTATTGTCCTGAGAGATGTTCTGTCACATCCCATCTCCACAAGTGACCACTGGACTCCAGAGAATCCAGAGCATTCAGTCGCTCCAGGACCAAGGCCATGTATGTCCATGAGGAAAGGCCAATGTTGGACTACCCTTATCCGCTCAACCCTCTGGCCAACAACTATGGCTACTATCCACAAGGTAAGCAATGTTTTGGAGCTTTTCTTCTTCTGTCTATGGTTCTGAGAGCGAGGAACTGAAGTGAGGACTCGCATACAGGGCCTTGAGTTTAAGGGGTTCAAAATTATGGATCATCTACACCAGTCCTGGTTCTGGAGATCTACCACCCTGCAGAGATTTGCTCCAACCCTAATCTAAAACACCTCATCCAGGGCATGAAGACCTTCAGGTCATCTGAACATTAGATCCAGGTGTGTTGAATCTTATCTCTCCAGGTTGGGAGATCTCCAGGACCAAAACTGGACACCCATGATCTACACCAATAATGCTGTGTTATTTGTAACAATGATGCGTTTTGGTGCTATCTAGAACCATGGACAAACAGTCCAAAACTGTGATTGCCATACCAGCCCTCAGGGACCTCCAGACAGTTCATATTAGGGATGTAGCAAGAATTTGGACCTTCTGGTGGTCCCTGAATACTAGTTTGAGAACCACTGATGTAAAGAACCATATCCAATAGCGGAACCGTTTTTGGTGCTATAGAATCATTATTAAAAAATCCCTTAAAGCATTGCTTTTCAGACCAACCTCAGGGACCACATTAGGGATACAGCAAAAATGTAGACCTTCTGGTGGTCCCTGAGGACCAGTTTGAAAACTACTGATTTAAAGAACTGTATACGGTGGGTTCCCCATCATGGAGAAAACTTATTTAAGCATTACAGTGTTTTTTTGAGTTGTTATGGTTCTATATATAACCATTGCTTTTACTAAAGAACCCATGGAGAACCTTTTTTATGGGTATGAAATGGAAATTTGGGGCATTTTGAACAAGGTTTGCAGCAGAAGCATGGAGCCCATAAACATTAAGCAAAGATGACAACTGGAATTTAGGTTAAAAGTTTATGTTTTAAAATGTTCCTCTTTGTTGAATAGAATGGAAGGACTCAATCTGCCGGACTCAAGCTTGGGACAGTGGCATGATTAGCCGTGGCGAGGCAGAGTTGACCTCGCTTCCGGTGCATGTGGCGCTTGAAGGACGTGAGCTATGGGACAAATTCAGCAGTATTGGTACGGAGATGCTGATCACCAAAACGGGCAGGTAAAGCACCAAACACGCGGTGTCCATTGTATATGTATCTACACTACTCTTCCGAAGTTTGGAACCAGTTTTGTTGCCGGTAAATGTAAAGAATGATTCTTATATGATGCTAAAAACCCTTCATAGGTTTCAACTAATTAGTAGGATGCTGTAAAAAGTTTAGAAAATGACTAAGAAAGCTGTTCTGGGTATAAAATGTGAAAAGTGGTCACTTCATGTCCATTTCCAGACCTGGAAAAGTCTGGAAATTCAGAACATATTTTGGAAAAAGTCTGGATGTTTTATCGTCAAAGTAATCTAGGATTAAGATTCAACTCAACCCAGAGGAAAAATCATAAAGTCTGTAGATATTCTATTCTCTGGTCTTCATAGATGCACATTGTATTTGTCAGAAAGAAGGTCAAAAGCCTTGATGACCACAGAGCAGAGTGAAGAATCTACCTTCCCAACATGATAATGATCCAAACTCCACAAGTAATGGTTTCAAAAGGAAAAATCAGTGTCTTAGAATGAACCAGTCAGAGCACCAACCTCAGTCCCACAGAAGACCTGTAAAGTAACCTAAATCAGGCTGTGGACAGGATCATCTGGTAATCTGACGGAGCCTGAACTTTTTTCACAACAAGAGTGGCGTAAAATTGCAAAGTTCAAGTGTAAAGACTCATCATAAAGACTTCATGGTGTAATAAAGGCAAAAAGTTGTTTCAGCAAAGTATTAGCTTGCACACAAATGCAACCAGGTTAGTGTACATTTATTGATTTTAAATGATTTTTGATTAGTTTTCCTAACAAGTATCTGTTTGTTTTTCTGTTTGAGGTTCTTTTAAAGATGGAAAAATGTTTGACCTGATTTGTCCTTATCCTTTTTTAGTCACAAAAAATATGCAAATTTAATTTGCATGTGCAGACTTTTTGTATCCACTGTGCACTCTTTAAAAAAGGACATTATTCAAGGGTTCTTTGGTAAAGACAGTGGATATCTAGAACATAGATAGAAAATAGTTCTGTTTTTGAGCCATTCTTATTATTCTACATTTGCCTCTGCAACTTTATGATGGTCAGTTATTATAGCCTTGATTGCATCTATTATCATTCATTCATTCATTCAGTTATTTACTCATTTATTTATTTGTGTATTTATTGTTGTTTGTTGTTGTTATTATTATTGTATATAATCTCAATGATGGAGAATCTTTTGTATATAGTTCTGTAAAGAATCTTTAAAATTCTTAGAAATCGTTCTGAATAGCACAAAAATGAGTTCCACTGTTCATAGAGCCTTTTTTGGCCATAAAGTCTTATGCAAATGTTTGGGCACCCCTGGTCAAATGACATCTTTCTTAAAAGTAAGTTACACATTTTCTACAGAAAACACATTTTTGCACATTTTAGTACACAATGACAGTTTATTCGGTGAATTTAACAAATTGGAGAAAATAATAATGTGCAAAAGTTATGGCACCTTTTATATTTTGTGTTATTTTCATTTGTTAAACATTTTTATAGGCTAATCCTTGAGTTCTTTGTGGGGGCTTTTTAATTATAACAAATTTACCATTTGCTGTTTAGCATTGGCAATGTACCACTTAGTCTCTTTCTTTTGAAAAAGAAGTGTCTATAAAGACTGACTGTCACATAGCCAAATGGATGGAATAAGCTCAGCACTTTCTGCTGTGCTTCCTACGTTGTAATTAAACTGTAAAGGCTCTCAATTGAAATGCATCTAGTTCAGGCGTCTTTCTTGTGTCTTGTGTCTTTCAGACGCATGTTTCCCAGCTGCAAAGTCACAGTGACGGGGCTAAACCCTAAAGTCAAGTACGTGGTGATGATGGACATGGTGCCGTTTGATAATAACAAGTACAAGGTACCTCCCCTCCCTCCCCCTCAGAATGCACATATATACACATTTACTATGAACATAATGTTTCCGTTTGTATGTGCATTTCTAAATATATTTGTGTACACTATATGCCCATATATATATATATATATATATATATATATATACACACACATATATATATATATATATATATATATATATATATATATATATAAACAGTAGTATATATATATACATATATATGTATATATATATATATATATATATATATATGTGTGTGTGTGTGTGTGTGTGTGTGTGTGTGTGTGTGTGTATGTATGTATGCATAATGGGTGCATTAACCCCAAAAAAAAACAATAGAACAGTTTTAAGCACTCAGCTCAAATAATCTCCATAGAAAAGCATTGACCAATAGCAAGGAATGACACACATGAGCTTAAGATCTCCATGCCCAATGCCAAACTTCAGCTAGTGGGGTATAAAGCCCCCCAGCATCGGGCTGTGGAGCAGTGGAACTGCGTTCTCTGGAGTGATGGAGCTCCATCCAATACCTTTAAGATGAGTTGGAGTGATACAGAACTGATCATTCAACATCAGTACCTCACATCAATAATGCTCTTGTGGCCGAATGCTATCAAATCCTTACAGCAATGTTCCAACATCTAGTGTAAAGCCTTCCCAGAAGAGTAGAGGCTGTTTATGCAGCAAACAGGGGGCAAACTCCCTATTAAAACCCTTGATTTTAGAAGAAACATTAGATGAGCAGGTGTCTACAAACCTTTGGCCATGTAGTGTATGTATGTCTGTGCAGAGACTATCAAATGGCTATGACATCTTTCACAGGTTTAAGAAATGTCCTAGACAAACAAGTCAATGAATGGATGAATGAGCGAATGAGCAGCCAGCTGCTTTCTGTTCTGACCAATTCTGACATCTCATTACTATAGTGGAACAGGGACCACTGGGAGCTGAGCGGTACATCTGAACCTCACCTGTCCAGCCGCTTCTTCATCCACCCTGACTCCCCCGCTCTGGGCGAGAGGTGGATGCAGTACCCCATCTCCTTCCACAAGCTCAAACTCACCAACAACACACTCAACTCCAACGGCCTGGTGCGTGCAATCATGTTATCAGTGTTAAAAACAGCTCTGCAAAAATGATAATGGAAAATTTTTTCCTTCAACCCAAATGTAGTCGATTAGCCAAGAGCTAGTTTTGCACTGGAGCTACAAAGCTAATTTAGCTAAGAAGTAATGAAACTCCATCAATTCATCCATTAGCATCCTGCTAACTGCATGCCTAAATCATTACATATGTGCCTCAAACAGTGTCCAGTTGTTAAGTAATCTTAAATAGACTTGCTTAATTCATTTCGGACACTGTATGAAATATTGTTATCTATAAAAATGGACTTTAATAGAGTGTGTCATAGGGCCGGGCAATAAGACAGTACATATAGTCATCGTGATAAATGATGTTACAACAGAATATTCTTCTTTGAGCATATCGTGTATACTGACCAGCTACCTGTCTCATTATAAAGAGAGCAAAATTAGCCCCATTTAACTGTTTTTTGATAGTATTTTAAAAATGTTTTCTCAGTTCCAATTGATCACATATCTGAAATGTGTGTACAAATAAATATTGTGACATATCGTTATCACTGTAGAACACAAACAAGTCTGTTTGAGATTACTTAGCATCTCCGCACAGCTTGAGGCAGGTTTATGATGATTTATGCAAAGTAGTGAAATATAAACTTCCATTACTTGTTAGCTACATTAGGCTTGTTACTCCAGTGCAAAACAAAAGAGGCAAACTTCAAGCACCAAACATGTCTTGGCTACATTTGAGATGAAGAGAGTATTCAGCAAGTTCATGTGAGACTGTGTTGCATGTGCTGCCATTTTGAAAAGTTCAGACTGAGTTAAGTGGCTTCAAAAGGGCAGTAATATAGTTTATAGTAATAAAATAGTTTTATTATAACAAAACCTGCCTTCTTATACCTGCCTACCTTATATCATTTTCTTTTTTTTCTGCCCTCCTTGACCAACAGGTGGTCCTACATTCCATGCACAAGTATCAGCCTCGTCTACACATAGTCCAGGCTCCTGACCCCTGCAGAGCCCAGCCCGGAGCCTACCTGCGATTCACCTTCCCAGAAGCAGCCTTCATAGCAGTCACAGCCTACCAGAACAACGAGGTGAGCACATGCATTTTATAGGCAAGATAATCATTTAATATGATGTTTATTGCTTCAGGAATTGCTTACACAGGAGGGATGGGAATCTTTACAGGCCCCATGATAAGATATCATCACGATACTTGAGCAATATTAGAATTCTGTTGCAATTTTTAAAGATTTTTGATAAGCTAAGTAATGAGATTTATTGTACAATATCTATTAACCATCCACTGGCAGCTCTGGATGAGGTGAGCTCTCATTTTTAAAATGTTTTCCAACTATTTGATTTTCATACAATCATAAATGGGCCCAGACGGTTGGCATGTCTCTTATTTCTGGTTCTTCCATTTTTATTTAGCCAACTTTCTCTTAGCAATGCAACCTCTTACAGAAGCCTTGATCCAATCAGAAAGAAAACAAAACAAATACTGAGCGCCATCTTGTGGACCAAGAGAACAACATTAAAGTCAACCTGACTTGTTACCTTGTTAGTTCTCTCGTCATGTGAAACACAATCATCGCTGTTTGAAAAGATTCTTGCTTTTCTGAAATTTTAGACTCAAGTGTAATGACGTTTGCCCACCTCAAGAACATCTTTAGAGTTTTGATTATGTCATCGATTATGTCACCAGCGGGCAGGGAAAAATATTAACCAATAATATCCAACATGTTTAACCTTCCACTCTCTGCACCTATCTGAGCGAAAATGCTCGGCTAGCTCAGAGACCCTCCCTGGTACCATTTTTGACTCAGAAATACATCATATGTTATGATTATTACTTAATTAGGTACTTTGGTAATTAAGCTTATGTGTGTTAATGTTACATCAATATTTTTAGCCCACCCCAATTATACAGTGCCATAGACAATTCAGAACTGTAACTGCTGTGCTTAGGCCAGATCCTTTTTTCGTTTTGGAGGGTCCGAATTTAGCAAACTTTGATCCTTTTCCTGCTCAAAAACAATGTTGCTTCTAGGCAACAAAACATATTTCTGCAAACTCTCATAACAAAAACAAATGATACTGAATGTTAAAAAAGAGGTTTAAAATTGTCCACTAAGATATAGTTTGACCAAGGGTATGCTTTTTATTGACATATTCAAACTCTTCCCTTTATTCTTAACCCTGTCATTGTCTTTAAATATGGATAATGTTATGATAAAGTGGAAAGTAAAGGAAAATGGGTTTGTTGCCCTGAGGCAACATTGTGCAATAGAGTTCAATCCTTTTGTTTTGAGTGACCCTGTACCTTCATTATGTCTATTTTATTAAAATAAATGATTAAACATTTATTTTAATAAAATACAAAAACAATCACAATCATAACTCTAGTGAAACTTTACCAAATGTTTAAATAGTGACTGTTTCGGTGGTGACAATTGTAGCTAATTTTTAGCATAACTTCAGGGCGGTCATATATATATATATATATATACATATATATATATATATATATATATATATATATATATATATATTTTAATACTTATTTCTGCACTTTGAACTAAATCATTACAGTGGTCTAAATATGTTTGGTGGGGACCTCTGATCTTATTTGAAAGCCATTTGCGATCATTGCTGGTTGGTGCTTTAAAGTGAGATGCTTGTTAGCGAAGTGCCCTCTAGGGGATAATGTGAGATAGTGCACATTAAATTGACATGGTTTTTGAGGTGCACAGGGAAAAGCAGCTTTCTGTAAGAAGAATTTGATCATTCAGTCTTTACAAAATGACCGTAAAACATCCGAAAGATTTACTTTGTCATTAGTAAGTAGTTAAATTCATAGTCAAAGCTGTCAGATCTATCAGAACCACTATGATGTTGATCACAGCAAAGAGCCTTTCTTGAGGCCTACTCAGTCGGTGCCAGCAGACCAATTTCCTCCAGCCTTTGTTGTGATTGTTCACATTCATTAGTGAGAAGGTGATGACAGATGTGTTCGCTGACAGGGTTTTCTCTGTCTTTCCTGCTACAGATCACAAAGCTGAAGATTGACAACAACCCCTTCGCCAAAGGCTTCCGTGACAACGGGCTAAACAGGAAAAGGTGACAGACGTATGAGATTATTTATTAGAAGATGGTTTAAAATAGAAAATCAGACAGTTCAAAATGTATTTTTAATCCTCATTAGGTTCAGGGAAAAGGATGTCCAGGGTAAACAAGGATCTGGACAACAACAGAACAAGACACAAAACCATCAAGGTAGCAGTTTGATTTATATATGCCTTTGTATTCACATATCCATAATATAAATGCCTAAAGATGCATTCAGCAATATTCATTAATCATTCATTTTGTGGTGGTTGCTTAATGTTTGCTTAATTCTCTCTATCACCAGTATATTTGCTGAGAAATCCACATTAAGTCCATTTCTGACCACAGAGCCACTCTTGGCTTCCGGGGAGGGGGGGGGTGGTTGGGGAGGTCCCATGGCGCAGGGAGGTCTGCGGCAACAAGGCCTGCTAAAACCTTCATTGGACCCCTCATATAGATACTGGCACAGCTGTACCCCCCTCCCCCCATGACTCACAGGCAGATCCAATTTCATAGCAACCACACTCGTACGCAAATGTTTAGGTGCCCCTGGTCACATTACATGTTGTGCTGAGTGTAAATAGTCAACAAAGTCAACAAATCCTCTACAGAGAACACACCTCTGCACATTTCAGTGCTGTTTATTTACTGAATTTAACATATTGGAAAAAAATGCCCCGTGCCAAAGTTCTATACATTTTATTTTTCCAATAAGTTAAACCCAGCAAGTGAATATAAGTGATTATAAACATATTTAAAGAAAATCAACAAAACATGTCATTTGACTGGGGGTGTGCAAATTTTTGCACCACTGTAACTCACCTGCACTACACAGACAGCTCTCACTCTTGTTCATAATGCATCTTATTTAAGGTAACCAATTTTAATATATTTGTTATTTATAATTGTAAAGGCTTAAATTTAAGTTGTCTGACTTACATTAAGGTTAAAGTTAGTTTGTTTTGTTACTTATTGAAAGTAATTTCGAATGAAGGGCCCATAAAATACAAATCTCACCACTGCATAAACCACAGCGACACCACTGTGCTAAGAGTGATCCGCCACCAAAATAACATCTGGTCAGCACTGGATCTGGGGTCAGAAAATGACCAGTGATTAATAAGGTAAAGGGTTGTCAATCTTGATTTCAGTTTGTAGCTGTGCACCTGTAAGGTAGGTGGAGCTCATAATGTGGCCAGTGTGGAAGTACAAGGGAGGTATTTCAAATCAGGTGGACAGAATGAAAGTTGCAATGCCATTCAGCAGGGGGCAGTATTGAGTCAAGTTTCATGTATGCAAAAGTTTGAGCATCCCTGGTGGTGGTGTTTTGTTTTGTTTTTGAAAATAATTGAGCACATGCTCTACATAGAACACATTTTAATGCACAGTAACTGTTTATTTGCTGAATTTAACATATTGGAAAAAAAATAAAACATAAATTGTGGTTGGTGCGTTTCGTATCATCTGTTTATTTTTTCTAATATGTTACACTCAGCAAAGAAATAGAAACTAAACTAAAATTGGCAGAAAAATGCATTATTTAAGTGTGTTTTCTTTATTATTAAGCTTGTTCCGTGTGAGAATGATGTTTTGGACAGGTACAAATCTGCAACACCACAGTAATTTGGTCAAATTTGCTACCAACTTAACTTGAATTCATTTTGTGCCCCTCAGCAGGGCCCTCCGACACTGATGAGGAAGCAGATGAAACGGTCTCCAGCTCAGTGGAATCCCGCAATGTGTTACACCCACATGACATGAAAGCTCCACCCACGGCCACCTCCAACCCTTTCATTTCAGCCTTTATGAATGGAGGTGTTGGACAAGAGGTCTGGACCCAAAGCCCGACGTCCCATCAACCTCAGCACACGCTTAACACCAATAACAGAGACTCCAGCAGGTGAGGTTGCAAATCTATAGGCTTATGGTGCTGCTCATTTAAAGTGCCTTCTGAAATTTAGAATGCAGTACAGCTGTATGCAAAAGTTTGAACACCCTGGTCAAACTATGTTTTGTTGATTTTATAAGAAGAGAAGTTAATACGTCCTCTACAGGGACCAAACGGCTGCAAATTTTCTGCACAATTTAGATTTATTTGCTGAGTTTAACATATAGTACAAAAACCATGACAGATAACAAAACATTAAATGTGCCAGTTCTGGGCTCAAGCTCTCCTGAAATGGACTGATGCACAGTGGAAACATGTGGTCTGACAAATTAATTAATTTGTTAATAATGGACATTGTATTTCTGGGCCAAAGAAGAAAAGGACCATCCAGATTATTACCAGTGTAAAGTTCAAAATCCAGGGTCTGTCATGGTACGTTAGGGTATTAGTGCCCATGAGTAACTTGCACATCTGTGAAGACACCATTAACACAGAAAGATATATACACATTTTGGAGCAAAATGCTGCCTTTTAGATGACGTCTTTTTCAGGGACACTCATGTTTATTTCAACAAGACAATGCCAAGCCACATTCTGCATGTGTTACAACAGCATGGCTATGTAATCAGTGTGAGTGATAGACTGGCCTACATGCAGTCCAGACCTGTCTCACATTGAAAATGTGTGCAGCATTATGAAGTAATACAACAAAAGTCCGGTACAGCTGAAGACTTGTATAATGGAAAAACGGCAAAAAATTCTGCTTTCAAAACTTGATTAGTTTGGGTCTTCAGTCCTCAAATGATTATTAAAAGAAAGGATGATGTAACACAGTGGTAAACATGTTAATAAGGTAAAACATGCAATTATCTGCAAATGCAAATAATGAATAATATGGCATTTTATCATAGTACCCCAGTATCGGTCAAATCTAAGCATCGATGCCGACAGTTTCAACAATTATATGCGATACCGATATGCATCTATTTAAATTGTATAAGCTACTGCTTTTTATTGGCTAATCTTAAAGCTAATATGGTTTCTACATCGCCTTTTACACCCAGGCCTGATGCAGCCAGACTCTCCAGTCTCCAGTACATGTGTGCCTCTTTACCAGCAGCCCACATCACCCAATCCCACTCACCCATCACAGAACTGAATTTGCCTGGACTTCCAGGCCAGGGTGGCCGTACACTGGTGGCGCCCCAACAGCAGCAGCACATTCAAGGGATCCACAGCCCAGCTGCCCACCAGGCTTACCCCATCCAGGCCAAACTTCACCAGCCACAGCCACAGCTACAGCCTCACCCTCGGCCTGACCTGGACCAATCCCTCCCTCTACCCCCCAAGCTGAGCCGAGTGAATCTGCCTGAAAACGCCCTACGGAGCCTGGAAATGGGCTCGGTCTTGGACCACCTCAACCCACGGCCACTGTCCAACATCCTGAACCGGATCCATGCACGGGCTGAGGCCTCTGGAAACCCAGGCAAGGCTGTGCAAGGTCACCCCCAACATGACCAACTGCCCTCGGGGTTGGAAAGGGACACGAGACCTCCATTTTTCCCATCTGCCCAGGACTGTGGTACAACACCATATGCCGACCAATGCAGCAGACCATCAGAGTGGCAAGGTTTCCACGGGGACACGAGTGAGAGACAGTTCCGCTGACCCCCAGATCAGTGCCGTTTTTGCAGATGGAGTATCCAAGTGCAAGTTTTTTTTTTTGTTTTGTTTTTTATGTGGTTGGTAAGTTGCAAGGACTAAGAGGAAGTTTGGTCCTGAGTGCTTTATGAGCTGTGAATACAATATGGATGTAATTTTCTTGAAATGTCAATATTTGTGTTTTTTTATCCATTTTTTATTCTTAGGACATATTATTTTATGCTTTGGCTATGTATCAATCAACTCAGTTGAAACCTCACATGAAGCCAGCTACCTTAGCATGAGGGCTACCTCATCTAGGCTTGGTTTCCCAGACCCAGATTATGGGTCTGGGAAACCACCTTGGGAGCCACAACATTGTATGTCCATTTTACTGTCTTGGCTGTAAATATGTCTCTGTATGTTCTACTAATATAGGCTTAAAAATATAAACAAAAACGCTGACTTACTTTGCTCTGCTTTAAGCTTTAGCTCACCTATATCCGCTTTTCTCACATCTCCGGCAGGAAACATTTCTGCAAAAGTAGAATCGTTTCTTGTAAAACGTCTCTCAACATTCGAGTTTTTACGAGGCTGAAGTCAGCTTGCCATTCGCCAGCTTCAATTTCCCGTTCCATCTTAAATGGTGCCTAAAGTGCCAGAATGTAACTGCTGAACCTTCTAAGGTGGAATGGGAAAATTCAAACGAGAAGCAGACTACATCTTCACGACTTTTTAGTGTTTGAGAGTTTCTTGTTGCAGATTAAACGTATCAGGAAACCAGCTGGAGTGATTATAAGTGCATGTAAGTCCATTTATCTTCAAATTATCGATGTTTGTATTAAATCTTTGTCTTTTCGTTAGCTACTAGCTAGGCAAGATTGCTACGATGACCAGCAGTCTGTGCACCAATATTAAGGGTGAATTACCAGTTGATCAGCTGAGCTTTATTTTACTGCAAAGGAGGATTATTTTATTTCCACCTAAAAATCTAATTCTGCGGTTTAGCCGCAACAGGGCAGTAAAAGAGCCGCATGTTGCCGACCCCTGGTCTAGGCCTATGGATTTTCAATGGTGATTCATCATTGGCAACTTAGTCTGAGACTAGATTCAACCCAAGACCATCAAACTGGCCTGCAGACTTTGTAACATTCCACTTCTGTCTAATGTTTTTCTATTAAATTAAAACATTGCCATATTTTGTGGTCATGTTGGCTTCACTATTAAGGAAAATGTTGCTTCAAACACTATATTCACACATTTAGGTGACAGAATAAGTATTTGGCGACCCTGTTTGTAAATTTATATAAATGTTTATCCTTCCCTGCGGTTAACTGGATATCAATTTATCCGACTCCTATGGATACTCGAATATCAAAATTAGTCAGAATGCACAGCCCTAATCAGTGATCAAGAGAAAGAGGACACAAGTTTCCGACAGATTCTTTTATTATCATAAGTGATCAGACATAAATTTCTACATTATGTGTTATATATCCATTACATATTCATTCTATATGGGAGAGGTATAGGTATACAGTAAGTAACTAGGCATTTCACGTTTGGTCATCTATTGCAATCTCACATCAGCATGAGCTTTGTAAACTAGACAACACACCTGAACCTGAACCGGAACAACGCTCCATCAGTACTACCAGAAGGTATTGATAAGGCAGTCAAAAGTATGAGTTTGTATGAGTCAATTTCACGAAATGTTGCACAGTCTTTCTCGGTATTTATACAGCATCTAGTAACAACTGGCAGAGGACTGCTAATGACAAAATGATTATCATTTATTCGTAAGGATACATAGGTACAATTTTTGCTAGAATTCTTCAAGAATAATCAGCAAAGATTCAAATACCTGGTATAATTTACCAAAATTTCCTCCAAAATTTATAAATTTGTTACAGGAAAAGAGGAGGTTTCCACTATCTTGGCATAATTTCAACTGATATTAACCGTTTACTGCATAAATTATTAAACAGACATTCTTTTTGGAGATTGCTGTGGGTACGTCACATTTTGTTGCCATATGGCAACAGCGTACGACAATGGAACTGCCATCTTCAATACATACCGTGAGTAAACCAATACACCACCATAGCAAACTGCCCCATTCAATATCCGGGCATAAAAACATATGCAACAGCCATAAACACATAAATGTTTTGGAACCCTGAAATATTTGAAAACAATATACTGCTAAAATCAACTTGCAAAATAAAAAAAAATAAAAAAATAAAAAGTTGTGAATATGGCATATTTCCAATGGCATCATACTGATTTACTCTCATTGAATGCATTCTTATTGCAGTTCAATTGTCGCATGCTGTTGCCATATGGCAACAATATTTTATTGTTTTACATAAAAAACCCCAAACATCTAAACTGGTTTAACTTCTGAAAAAGAAACTAATTTCCTACTTTGCCTTATGTTTGTTTATAAATACTGAACTATAGCTCACTGTATGATGTGTGTGAAAAAAATGAATATGGACTGCAACAGGACGGCATGTAATCAGATTATGGATACTATATTACCCATAAAGCCTACAGTTCCATAAAAGAACAGAAAAAATAGTTTTATTATTGTATTGTAGCCAGACAGAAAACTAGCTATTGTTGCCACATGGCAACACCATGCAGTAAAGGGTTAAATTCAGAATTCTTTTTGTCCCCAGTGCAGTTTTGTCTCAACAGCAACAAACTGTTTAACACAAATCTCAAGTGTTCTCAATTAGTCCTCATTCTGTGTTTTATTCCAGCTCCTAAGCTGTTGATTATCAGGTTACCCCTTAGAGGTCAAGTTATTTTGTTTTGCCATACACTATTAAAATGTAATTATATATTGAATTTTATAGTAAGTTACACAATTAGTAACATTTAGTCCTCCAACTTCCTTCTGTTTGTTTCGGTATAGTTCACTGTAGGCACAACAATAACTTTCGGTCATTGGTGACTGGGATTGGTCGTGTGGTTTCTACTTCGAACCACAAATGTGGTATTGATTGTAAGATAAGCAACAGAATTTCCTGCTTGTTTCATGGAGCTACGAATGGAAAAAAAATATGGAATTACATCTTTTCATTACCAACAGTAATAACTGAGACTTCTGAGGGTTAAGATATACTAGGATCTGGAACAAAACATGGGAGCTGAACTGAAAATCTCCACATCTGAATGCTAAAAGGTCCCTTGTTTACTGAATATCAGTACACATTTCTCTGTTACATAGTGTAAGGTATTTAATGAACAACCCCAGGTGCTAAGTTCAGTATATCTGATTTTCACATTGTATAACTGGAGCATAACAGTAAAGACCAAAAAAGACCAAACATGAATACAAGAACAATATTCTTTCATGTCAAACATATATGCAATTATATATAGCAACTATTATCAATATCCAGAAAAGAATAAAACTATTTACTTACTATGGCTATTTGATAAACTTTTAAATTCTTCTGATGTCCTTGTCTTGACCCTTACACATAAACCTTCAACGTCAATAACAGCAATCTTTAAAACAGTCCAAAAGTGGCAGCCAGAGGTAAGTACTAGTGTATACCGCTGAGTGGACAATATTAGAGTTCACCATCACGTTCATTTTCCACTCAGCTCTTCCCAATCTATTCTATAAACACTGCAAGCCAAACTCTAACTCTACATACTGATTGCTTAAAGTTGCACAAACCTGCTGAATTGTAGTTGAAATTCCTTTGGCTATTTGGCAAACAGCTTGTATTCCTACTGGCCAGTGGACATATTTGGTGACAATATATTTGTTGTTAAAATGTAACTAAATGAACTCTGACATTTGTCGGCACATAAGATGGTGGTATGAAGAAAAGCTAAACCTGCTGAAATTACATATATACACTTCAGAGCAACAATGGATGCAATCATCTTCAAAGTGGACTTCAATATTAAGATTTCATATTTAGAATGTCAGAACTTCTGCAGAAGAAGAGTGAAAGCGTACAAAAACCAGCGACGGACAGGCTGAAGATAAAGACACAAAGACATACACTAAAATGTACATTCATTTACAGAATGCTCACAAAAACAAACGTAAAAACTCTTATTTTGGAGTCTTGCTTCTACACGAGTGGACACGTTCAAATTCTATGCAGGGACCACTCAAGGGGACAGACCCTTAAACATACATTACTGTTACACTTCTAAATCTTACATGCATATCGCTAATCTTGCTGCCATATCGGCTACGCTTTGCATATTGGTCGTAGTCTAGGTAGATTGCACTTTTTAATGTGACATTATGCAGACCATGCAAACCAAAGATGAGAAATAGCAAAATATTAAAATAGCTGATCTTAAACTAATCAATTATGAATATATGTGAGCTTTACGGTGTTTCTGCATTGAACCTAATGCAGTAGTAATGACAGACTAGCAAAAACAAACAACAGTAAATCTGATTCCCTTTTTGAAAATGTAAACCGCAAATGCACCTTGCTGATTAGGGCTGGGTATCATTCAAGATTTTTCAAAACTGATATCAATGCCTAGATTTCGCTAATTGTGATACCTCTTTCTAAATTTCAAACTGAAAATATGAGTGGTTAAAACCAGAAATGAGTGTGAGGAGCTGGAAGTGGGCAGTATTTACTGCAAAGAACTGCAGACTAATCTAGAAATGCTAATGTTAATAACACAAAATTTAAACAGCCAATCACCAGTCTAGACCCTCTGGAACAAGCATGCTTATTGGCTCTCTGACGTAGCTGAATTAAGTATAGAAATTTGGTACTCAATCAAACCATACTCTTTAGTATTGAAGTATTTTGAAGTTGGAATTTTGATACCCAGCCGTAATGCTGATTATCCTTTTCGCATGCCAGTAGATCAAACTTTTCCTAGCTCAAGAAATGGGCCCGGTGGTTCTGTATCTGTAAGTAGAAGCACTGATCCAGCACCCTGTCCAAACCAGCATATTGTTTACGAGATGATGAAAACTGAACCTAGACACTTCAACTGTATGTTCTCTATCCTGCCAGGCCAATACAACATGCCTTCTTTGCAACTGGAAATTGCATGAACTTGTTTGTAACAATATGAAACAGACAACATAAACAGATATGCTTACCAGTAGAAAGAGTGAAAAAAAAAATCAGTAAAAAAGATCAGATATAGCATGGGATGATAAGATCAAATAAACTGTGATTTAAACTCCAAACACAATGGGCACATGCAGTGATGTCTGGTCCTATAATTATAAGGCACCAGAGGTCTGGTCAAATAAAATCTCTTTCAGAGAGAGTTCTGTTTTCAAGTGTTCCTTTACAAAGGCATTTAAGAGTGCATTGAAACTGATGTGTTGCAAAGGCCAAAGAGTGGAGGGTCTTCATGCTTGAGCATTGGTCATTTTCTGCAGCAAAGGGATCTGCAACATGAAAAGCAGAATAATTAACATTTTTTCCCTGGTAATATCCAAACTTACCTTTAACTCAACTGATGTCAGAGCTTTAGCCTTAGACAGCTATTTAATTTCTATATTTGTGTGACTAATTCCTGTCGAATGCCCACTGCTATTCTGTAAGAACTCACTGTATTCATTATGCTAAACATTGACTGGCATCTATGCACAGAACGTAATACACTAAACCTATTGATCCCCTTGTTGCCCCAGTCAGTACTTCACCTTTGACAGGTCCACTCCTGTGAGGGCATTGACAGAGACAGGCAGCTCAGCCAACAGGCGATTCACTTCTCCGGTCACGCGGCTGCCCTCACCGCTAAGAATGACAATCTCATTGGTTCGGGCCAAGGGTGCTGCCACCTTCCCAGCAATCTGTGCAGAGAAAAATAATTGAATGGTCAGTGGAGGTTGAATGGAGATGCACCTGTTCAAGCCTTTTCTAAATTACAGGACATAATAAATTACCTTGTCTTGTAAAATTTCAATAAACTAAAGCAAAAAGAAAAACCATATTTATGCGCATTCAACAAAATCAACAAAATACATTATCTGACCAGGTCTGGTGGAACCAGTGGGTTTGGCGAAAAAAGGATACAGGAAATACAGAAAATAACCTAATTCTCACTGTCCCCTGGGAGGACCTTATTAGAGCACATGGCATCTTCAGTACCAGAAGACTTTAAATGAAAATCTGTCTGCCTCTGCCAAAAGCCTACAACTGAGTCTCAGACTACTTGCTCTGTATTCTGTTGAGAAAGGGAGATTGCACAAATGCTAAATGCAAGGGTGCAAATATTTGTGATATGGTTTTGTTAAAAAAAAAATATATATATACTTTTTGTCTAGACTAGATTTAATTCAATTCAAGGTTAAATTAACCACAAAACAACCTTTTCACACATCTTTACCAAGAACACCAATAATCACAGAGCAAACTTTAGATATATTTCTTAGATAAAATGGTGATACATCAGTTATATGCCAGCCTACTTTGACACATACGAAGTTACAATTCGGCAAAAAAAATTCAATGTACACAATTTATCCCTTACCAGTTTTGCACTGCAACTATGAGGCTAATGTACTCACTTAAAAATGATGGTTCTTCGAGGGTTCTGTAGTAAAGAAAATGTTTCTATATAAAACCATGAACATTCAAAGAACCCTTTCCATAAATTAAAGGTTTTTTTGCATCATGAAAGCGTTCTTCAGATTGATGAAGAACGTGCTGCAGATGGTTCTATATAGAACATTTTTGAAAAGGGTTCTATATAGCATTAAAAAGTGTTCTTCTATAGTTACGATGTCAGGCTTGTTACAAAAGAAGAAACGCTTTTTGGTGCTATATATTCTATATAGAACCATTTTCTTTATTAAAAAACCCTTGAAGAACCATCCTTTTTAAGTGTGTAGCTAAGAACTAATGGGAATTTATACCAACCAATTAGCACCATGCCAACTGCACTGCCTTAAATCCTGCCCAGTTCTTGAGTAAACTCAAACAGACATGCTTACAGACATTGTATGACATACTGCCACCTATAAAAATGCATGAACATACATTGCATAGCTAAAGTACAGCAGTAGCAGGCATCTCAAAACCTAAAATTTATACTTTTATCCATTTTCCAAATTGAAGCTGCACAACTGCCACTATTCTTCATATTAGCATGGAGCACAACAGGATATCCGCTATGAGAAACTTAGCTGATGCTTCCAAAATCAAATGTTCAGTAAAAACATTTTGATGGCAATTAAACATTTCTGATGGGTATTATTCATTATCCACCCATCCTTCCATCCAATCAGCTGTAACCCCATACCTTGGGCAGTGCCTCCAGGACCAGAGCGGTTTTTGCCGCTTCTCCATACTGCTGGTAGGCCTCGGCCTTCATCCTCATCTTTTCTGCTTCAGCCTTGCCCACTGCTTCAATGGAGGCAGCTTCAGCCTCACCTATACGTCGGATCTTCTCTGCTTCCGCCTGCGCTGTCAGCACTTTCTTCACTCTGATGGAAGAGAACAATGGAGAATTCTAGGCTTGTTCTTTTTCTAGCGGGTAATGCCTTCTGCCCCCATCTTACACCTCACTTATCTCTTTCTACGTACTTATGTCCTTCTGCCAGCTGCTTCATCTTATAGGCCTCTGCCTCGGCCGGTCGCTTCACTGTGGCAATCAGCTCTTTATCAGTGCGAACGATTTCCTTCTCTTCTATGGTGATCTGTTTCTTCCTCTGCACCACCTCAATCTCAATCTCCTCCAAACGGATCTTTTGCTGCTCCTTAGCTGCCTGCAGTTCATAAGCCAGCTGAGCTTCAGCTTTCTGAGAGAGAGAGAGAGAGAGAGAGAGAGAGAGAGAAAGAGAGAGAGAGAGAGAGAGAGAGAGAGAGAGAGAGAGAGAGAGAGAGAGACAGAGAGAGAGAGAGAGACAGAGAGAGAGAGAGAGAGAGAGAGAGAGACCACACTTCAATATATTACATTGACCAAAATATCTGATTTTCAAATTGCATTTAAATTAGTTTGCACCTTAAATGGAAGCTTTCACTTCACTATATACACTATGTGGCCATTGGTAACCTTTGCCATTGGTAATTGGTAACCTATATAACCTTGGCCTACAGGTTAATTAAGAAGGAAGGTTTGCTACAATGTACCATGAAAATGCCTCACACACACATTTTTAAGAGATATATTATATTCAAAGTTGTACTGTGGCCAATAAAATGCCATTTGAAGAGTTTACATTTCGCATTGTTTTTCATGTTGCTCATCACTCAGCTGAACAATACACCTAATGAAACAGAATGATAGCTATGTTTAAATAGAAATTCAGTAGCTACACGGTCCAAATAACTAGTTTCACCTAAAATTTCCTTGTAAAATTAAACAAGCAAGTAAATGACCAACCGTATTTATTCTCATGTTAGATAATACCTTTGCATTGACTTCCTGGTTGAAAGACGCTTTCTGCATCTCGAGCTCACGCTTTGAGTCGGCCATCTTAGTGTCTGCTAAGAACTTTACGTCCATCATTTCCTTCTTGCATTCTGCCTCCTGCAGAGAGTGAAGACAAAATCAGTACAAACCAAATCAACTTGACTCATTTGTTTATACACAGTACACTATTGCAAAATATATCTAAACAATACTTAAAGGGAAATTTCTGCATAATTAAATCATGATGATGCAAACAAAGTCATTCAGAGTCATCTGATGTAAGATGTTCTGTTTTAGAGAAACTTAGGGTCAGAATTATTCACACTGTTGATGATAGGAACCAGATGTCTGAAATCTTTAATGCCTCTAAAAGCTATATCACAAGATGTCATTACATGAAATGGTTGTGCGTATGTTACCAGATGCCTGAGACATTGCTCTACGATAAGCTTTTGGCCTAAAACATATTTTTTATATATATGTAGAGCATTGTACGGCAAAACCAAAGAAAACACACACACACACATACATATATATATAAAACAGATTTACTTCTATTTTAATATTATCAAAGTGACATATAACTGGGAAGACACATGTAGATTCAATGGTGGTTTTGGATAGTAAAGAAAATGGCTATATTTGTGTGTTATAGACATTGTGCCTCGTGGTTCCCGGTTCCTGAGTGACTTGAATTTTGAACTGACTGAATTATGCATTAATGTCCCCTTTAAACAGAATGTGGTGGGTGAACACACACAGAACACATCAGATTTGTAGCAATGGTATTTCATCTTCCTTTCTGTTTTTTATATACTGTGTGGTTGAACACTCAGTAGTTGATTAAATGTGGTCGTCTACTGACCTTTGTCATTACAGCACAAACAGAAACTCACTCTGATTCCTGCATCTCTCTCAGCCTCTGCCACTCCAATATCTGCATCTCTCTGCACAGCTGCTGTCTGGGTCTTTCCCAATGAGCTCAGGTAGTCCACTTTATCATAGACGTCCTATAAGGATAACACACACCCACACACACACACACACGCCATAAATCAACATTATATACATGGAATGTCTCCCATTCAAACTATAACTGAAAAAAAAGGAAGAAAAACTACACAGGCATGACACACCCCTTTCCAAACATCATCTACTGGTCAGTAAGATTATAGTATCCAGAATGCATCTTGATGAAGGGCAGCAATTTACTATATTTCAATCCTGTTTTATAAAATAGATAGATCTAGTTCTAAAATTTGACTGGCTGAGCCCCATTCAAAGCCTGTAAAATATTCGATATACGCACATAACGCTACTGTTCAAAAGTTAAGGACACTTTTTCATTAATATAAAACCAATTTGTTGAAGATACATGCATAAATTATTACATAACTACTCTATAACTAAATTTTAGGAAGCTGAAAAACAAAATTAACTTTCTCTTAATGACTGAGAAAGCTGTATAACGAGAATGAAGCTACAATGAAATTAACATCCAGAATGTCTCATATGTGAGAAGTGGTCATCAAATCTCAAAGTAGATAAGTTACCAAATAATGACCATAAACAGATCAAACAGATCAAAGCATGTTATTTATCATTTAATAACTTTTTGGTGTTCCTAAAAAGCTTGACATAACTTCTAGTATATTTCAATCCACACTGTATTAAGATAGAACTGAATAAAATGGCTTCTGTATTAATGTGCCATTAAAAAAACTAAAACTGTTACTATATTACTTACTGTTAGAAACATCCTGATCAATATCAACAATCATCCTAGTCATTAAGTTAACGGAATAATCTTGGACTGATATGTTGCCTGGCATTCATAGACTCCTGTAGTTTATACAATGACTGTTAAAAGAACTGTTTTTTGGCATTTGTGTCAAACAACTGAACTGAACTGTGGTAAAATCACTGTAATGCACAGCCTCTTGTGGCTTATTGCTTTAATAACTACACTATATGCAAAGAAGGGGTGGGAACGTTTTAGGCACAATAAAATTCAATACGTTTTTGATTCAGTGTGCCAAGATGTAACTATAAAGAACTATTCTTTATGCACCTTCATTTTTAGTGTCCATAATTATTTTAGTGTCTAAATTATGATTTTTGCCATTTTTGTCCATTTCCACAAGTAGTATTTGCTTAGTTAAATCTCAATGCAGCCTACATATGCAGCACTTTTTTTGTCTATGCACCTATGCATCATCTTATTCAGGGGCCCAATCCTTGTTCTGGAAATCTACCATCCTAGAGAGTTCAGATCCAGTGCACCTGGCTCTAATATTAAAATGCCTCTGAAGGCCTTCACTACCTGGATCTGGTGTGTTCAATTAGAGCTGGAGCTGAACAGGGTGGTATATCTCCAAGACCAGGACTGGGCAACCCTGATCTAACTGGTTTAAACTAAAAACTACAAATAAGCCTACATAAGTTTAATTGTGACAGTTTGAACATTGATGCAGAATTCATGCAGAATTTTTCAAGAGAGAATCACAATGCATTTAAGAATCGCTTATTTTTCCCACCTCAATAAAAACATCAGTACAGGGTTATGTTCTGTCTGTGCAGTGGTCACCTTAATTGTGAAGCTGAGGATCTCGATGCCCATCCTACCCACATCAGGAGCAGCCACCTCCCTCACCAGACTGGCAAACTGGTCTCTGTCCTGGTAAATCTGCTCCACTGTCAGAGTGCCTAAAAACACAAAGCTGAGGTCAGTGATGGAGTCATCATACCTAATTACACTGACGTTGACCTCAATAGCACAATAGCTGTTTTAGACTAGCTTTTAGTATTTAATGATTTGTTTTAATGGACTTTTTATGACACAGAGATCGAAACTGTGAGAATAACTCTTGCCAGACGTGATATGTCCACATAGTATAAGTAAAGCATAAGCAACCGTCTGCCCCAACTACACGGCCTTAGGTGAAAAAACATAACAGCACAGATGGGTTTGTTTTTTAACTAGACCGACTAATTAGCTTTTAACATCAGCCGTTACTGAGGTCCCACAGATTTATCTGCATCTGAGAAAATTATGCTGAGTAGTACCTGTTTATAAATTAACAAACCTGGAAAATGAGAAAAATAAAACCTAATTAACAGAAACCAAAGCTGGGAAGAAGCTGTGCCCAGTTTACAACTGATAACCTTTCAGTCAGTAAAGTATTAAAGACTAAAACTATAGGAGTGTAAAATTAAAAAATAAAACATAAAACTGTATCAACAATTAACGATTACCCGAACGCCCGGGCATTTAAAGAAATTTAAAACGTCAGCAAAGCAGAAGAATTCGACAAAGCAAGTGAGAAATTGTATCCTTCAGTTTCTGTGGGTCGATTCTGACAATATCCACACTCTGCTTTCCACAGAAGGCAGATAAACCTGAATCGTTCTTTGTTAATACTGCAGTTTATGGAACATAGTCACAAGAGTGTTATGAAAAAAAATCCCTCTGACATTTTGTGGATATGAGCAAAAAAGCACGTGCAAGACAAATGTATACAGCAACAGCTCTAATTAATAGTACAGAAGACACGCACACAGGCCTACTCTCTCCAGCAGCATTGTTCCTAGGCAAACATTTCAGTGGTTTTAACAAGAAATTCAGGTGCATTCAGAGACTAAAATACAGGGTTAATTGCTTTAGAATTATTTAGTTCGTTGAGTTCAACTACTTTGCAAATGCCACGTCACATCCAAATACTTGACTGCCTTCTAGGAATTTTATTTGCTTAAAACGCGTTGCTTACCACCCCAAGGTCTGTGTGTAGTCTACTGAGAGCCCACACTTCTTATAAATTGAGGTCATTCTAAAAACTTTGCTCATTGTTTGTACTCTTCTGGCTCCATAAGGCATGTTGTGCTTGGATCCCAATGATCGTCGATGCTATGCTTGCAATGCTATTTCAAGATGGTTGTTTAGCTTTTACAACAGTCCACGGAAATCAGAGTTTTACATCAATTTCAGACAAACTAAATGAAAGCTGGTTGTCTTGGTTGCTAACAATGACAATTTACAAATGCTAATCCTTTTTATGGCCACTGTTAGAAAGCTACTGGAGAAATCTGAACATGCTTATCTATAATTAAAAAATATTTTTAAGCAAAAACTTAAAACTCTGTTTGGGACAGTAAACTTTTCACCTACCAGCCCGATCAGGCAAGTTTGGGAAAAAGCTAAACCCCATCAGCCAAAACCACTGGTTATCGTAATTTATAGCTCCTTAAAGTTAGTTATGTGTAACAAACACTTTGTATCTGTCAGGCCGTAGTGTGGACATATGTTAGATGCGTGTCTAGTGGAGTAGAGTTTGGAGTGAACTGGCCCAAAAGATTGCCTGTTCAAATGGAGATGAACAAGTCTTACTCACCCAGAATGGAACGGAGATGACCCTCCAGTGTCTGCAGGACCACCCCTTTAATCTCCGTCACCGACTTACCCAGGAACTGCTCACAGGCAAGAGACAGTAGCTCCTTATCTGTCATTACCTTTACCTGGGAGCAGCATAACCACACACAAACAAGTGAGGCAGCAGCAGAGACATATGTTTACAAAAATACAGACATGAAGGTGTTTCCATCTACAAACCCAGAATCACCACAGTATGAACCTATTACTGAATAAGACTGTAGTAGTTAAGGCTAGCAGCCTGCTTCATTTAAGAAGCAAGAGATAATGTGATAGTTACATAAATATGCAACACAATAAAGCACTAAAAAGCTTCAAAACTGACCCGTGTGAAAAACATTTGTAACAGTGATGTCTATATAATGGAGTCTGCTAAGCTTTTTCCTGTTCATTCCTCTCTTTCTAGTCAGGCTATTGGAGGCTATTTCAGGAATCAGTACAGTAATGTTCTCATCAGGGCTCATGTTTGTGTTTATATGTAGAAGCAGCTGCTCTGCATTAGCAGAAACTGGATCTGTAGAAAGAAGTAGTGGGGCAGCTGTGGGGTTTCTCTACACAGAGCTTTCCCTCACGCACTGCTATAGCCCTCACACTGACACAGAAGTAACATGTACAGTCTTTGCTTTGTTGTATGCAGCCTTCGCAAAAAGTCACTTCAGATACAGAAGGATAAACAACTCCAGCCATTGGCGTTAAAATGGAACGTGTTGGGGTTTTTATTAGGTTTTTAGTATTGTATTCGCGAATTTTTAGGGCTCTATAGCAACTGTTAGGGCCTCTGTATGGTCTCAGCCAATCAGATGTAGCTGTTCGGTGTGGAGGCCTTTTTATGGCAGAAAAGCATTTCCTTGATTTACAATGGCTGCATTGTGAAGACCATCTGCAGACAGCAGAATCACTGCAGATAGTAAGTGAGAGAGTTGGCTGAATGTGAAAAGTCTGTGAATCCATAGTACATACCACAAAGCTGAGTTCAATGACCTGCATCCCAACTAACTGAGTTTAAAAGTATGGTTTGGTCAAAAATCTAATTCACATAATTCTCCCTCTCCGTTACCGCAAATATAGTCCAACAGTCAAAACATGTTCGGTATCTGAAGTTTGCCTCTTTAATTTTGCAACAAGACTAAAGTAGCTGATGAAAGCACACGGATCGCAATTGGCATGAGTATTGCATTACTAAGTCATCAAACAATTGTCTCAAAGCACAAGTAATCTGAAAGACTGTATACAAAATGAACAGAAGGACAGACAATTTCAGGCATAAAAATGGCTGCTACTTTTGTTTTTAGCAATGCAATATACTTTTGTCCATTTTAAAATACCGAAAAAATCAGAGACCACCCTTCATTCGTATAATTTTCAGTCAAAATGGCCATTAAGTTTCTTTTTCAGGAGATATTTCTGAACAGACTAGATAAAATAATCCACTTGCATAAAGAAGTGAAGAGTTAAAAGAAAAAATCAATGAAATAATAGGAGATTCCAAAACTGAAGTTCAAAAAATTATTTTAAAAATAGAAAAAAAATGGGACTCCTAACAACAAAACTGTCACCATCTGGTACAGAGCACTTTAAGCTTTCATTTTTGAGGGAAAAAAATTCAATAAAAATTCAAGCTCCACTCTTGCTTCAGATCTGAAAAAAATCCACTGGTGTTTCTGTCCATCCCACCACTGTGCGAAGACAATTCAACAGTATGGGCCTGAAAGGATGTTTAGCTGCCAAGAAGATGTTACTGAGAAAAGGAAATAGACAAAAAAAGAAAAGCATCAAATCAAACAAAGAAGCCGCTTGTGTTCTTAGAACAGTGGACGGACCACCCCAGAGCCCAGACCCCAACATTGCTGAATGTGTTTGGGGTTACCCTTGATGATGAGAAGCAGAAAATGCAGCCAACTTTTAAGACTGAACTTTGGAGGTGTGGGAAAATAACCCTCCAGATTTATTTAAAAAACTTGCTCATCATCGAGGCCACTTATCCTCCCAGCGCTCAGTGGGCAAAAAGCAGGAAACAACCCTGGGTAGGTGACCAATCCATCACAGAGCAGACACACAGACACATTTACACACATCCCCAAGGGCAATTTAGTATCTCCAATTAGCTCCACTGCATGTCTTTGGACTGTTGAAGGAAACCGGGGCATCTGGAGGAAACAGAAAGGACTCTGGTCACCTGGCCAGGGAATCAAACCCAGGCCCTTCTAGCTGTGAAGCAACAATGCTACCCACTGCACCATTGTACCACCACTATCTGAAAAACCGAAAGCAAGTTTTCCAAACAGAATGAAATCTGTGACAAAGGCACAGGGTAGACACACTACATACTGAAAATGTAGAAATTACATTTAGTTGTTGAGGCTTCTGTGTAATTTTCTGTAAGTTACATGCTTTCTGCTAATTTTTCTTAAGGTTGAAAAATAAATAATTTGTACTTAATGGCTGTTTGACAAAATTAAATAAACGAAAGGTGGTCTCTGACTTTTATACAGTACTGTACAAGAAAGAGTCAAACTTGATTCTTCACTAAACTAAATGTAACATATTTATAAAGCAGTCTGCTTTGGATGAAACCTTTAGACTGTAAATCTAGTACTCATAGAAACTTGAAGGCCTAATGTTGTCTATCCCTTGGTATACAGCATTGCCTACACAGATAAGGCAATCTTGTGAAACAAATACAATAATCAGATTAATCAGACAGAGTAAATGTTTCATCTTGCTCCCCACTGCTGTGAAATGGAAAGAGAGTGAGCTGGTCCTTCAGAAAAAGAGAGAGACAGATCAGAGGAATGTGGTGCAGCTTTACTTGTGGTCTTTTTACGCTAATATGGCACAAAATGCTGGACAGTGCATTCTCTCCTGTGGCCATGCACTCGTACCAGGGTACAGGGAGGAAAGAGTGGGCAGTCGTAACTGCACTGCACGGCATTTACAAACTGATTGTGTACATGTCGGTGGCGGAGTAACAACACAAAGTACGGGTGGGCAATATGGCCAAAATATCACAACACTCAAACACATTTTCACAATACACGATACGTTTCCACAATATTTAGTTTTTATGAGGTTTGTGAACTAGTTGGAACAAACAAAATGCACCAGCAAAACAGTAGCGCCAACTGATAACAACATTTTTGTTTTTGATTCAATGTTTCAAAAGTAAAAATAAAAATTAAAATAATAAAATTAAATTTGTGAAACAAGACAATGCTATAATGGTCCATCTAAACAGCTACTTGTTACTATGCAGTTAATATACATTGCTTGTTGGCTGTCTTTTATAGGTCCAAATTGGTCTTTTTGTGAAAAAAGAGGTTGTTCGGTGTTATAAAAGTGCTGATGATACTCATGACATACTCAGAAAAACACATTGTGGCATAATGTATCACAACAACAACATATCATCATATTACCCACCCTAATACAAAATCAAGGACAAAAGTTGAACCCCAAATGACTCCCTGTATGACACATGCAAAAGGTTCAGGATGTTGAAACAGAATTTTTCTTTTTTCAAACCCACATGTTTCAATGCTAATACAGTCAATTGCTAAAGCAGCAGTAATTGAGGCACAAAAGGTGTGGAAAATGTAATCTCAGAGCTCCATTTCAGGCAACTATTGTTATTTTATTATTATTATAAATATATATATATTAAGGAAATACCAGGATAAAAAACAGAAAACATATTTAACAGAATATTTCAGTCTCAACAACTAAATATTTCAGGATTCAGTATGTCCACACTTTGGCTTTATTACAGCTACCATTCTTTTCAAAAGACTTGCTTTCAATTTTTTAAAGAAACCTGCAGATATTTTTCCTCCAAAGTTCAGTGTTAGAAGTTGATGCGGTTTCTGCTTCTCACTTTGCTTTCCAACTAATTTCCAAACACATTCAGTGATGTCTGGAATCTGGGGTGGACAGTCTGTTGTTCTGAGAAAAACCTGCAGATTCTTTGTTTTGTTTGCAAATAATGTTCTTTTTTGTCTATTTTTCCGTTCTGGTGGTCTACCATGTCTTGCACGGATGTTAGGAGTCCTTTTTCCAGTATATCTTTTAAGGTTTTTTTAACTCCAGTTTTGGAAAGCTCTGTTTTTTTCATTAATGTTCCTTTAACTTTCTATTTTTTCATGAAAGTGAATCTTACATTTAATCTTCTCAGAAATATCCCCTGAAAAATGAATAACGTGTACTTATTAAATATATGAGGGATGGCCTTTGATTTTTGCACTGTACTCTGTGTATAACGTATATAATATATTTTCATACATACACGGTTATCATCGTATTATATATTGTCGCTGTCCAACAAAAACCATGTACTTCCATTTTTAATGATTTTTATTTTTTACATCATCTCAACAGACCAGCTTTTCACTGCGTGAACATTTCTTGATGAATGGACCTACAGAAATACTCTAAAATCAATTGGAATAAAATATCTTTACATTATCTTACACTGAAAGGTAAGAGTGTTTTTGCCTTCCCCTGTAAAGTTACTATTTTGGAGATTTGGAGTTTTTCTTTGGACAGCAACAAAATATATAGACGCATATCATCACTGTCATATCAAACTCTTGCAATGTGTGGATATTTAATGTCAGTATGTTAACATTTAATGACAAATGATCAAACAGAAATGTTTCAGACATGTACTTGGAAAAATTCTTATATTAAGTAGTAAAGGCAATTTGGCCAACTTATATTAGTTAATTTGTCATAAACTTTTCACACAATGTAAAGGGCTGCTGTTGTCAAAGGGTGTAAAAACTAAATTTATATGAACAGTAAAAACATATGCCTGTTGTTTGGGGAATACGTTGCTCTTAACAAAATGTGCAGTGGGGAGTCATTTCGGTTTCAACTCATCACTCATTCATGTCCATCCAACCAGCTCCAGGACACTATCAAACACTGCCTACAGGGGGAGCAATGGCCAAGCACTCAATCAGATAGCAGATGCATGCATCTACGACAACACAACTCCCCCGCCCCATCACGCACAAACATCATTCCCACGACATGCTCAGACAAAAGGAAAGGGCAAAATGAACCATGAAAAAGGAAGGGGAGGGAACTGGCAAACACAAATATAAGGCTAAAGGAAATGCTATAAACTGAAACAGAATAGTGTGTCCCATGACTTTGCTGCTTTGGGTTTTCTCTCAATTTAGCTGTTATTGGTCACAGTTTTGAAACTGGATTTAAGCACTAAAATGTTTATCCACATGACCAGAAATACTGGAGTCCGGCTGTTGATACTAGAGGGTTTTTTTATGGAAGACAAAATTAGCCAGATGTAGTGGCAATTATGTCCTTCAGCTTATTGACTACCTGGCCCTGGGGCAGGACTTTTTCTATTATAAAATGTCACATGACCCCTTGTGAACAGTGTGTAAAATGGACAGATAAAGATCACGCTTGCTCAGCTGGCTAATGTGCATGATTCAACCAGCATCACAGGGTTACGGCGTGAGCTCCACTGTCCGGAAAAAAGCTCCACCTAATGCTGCCATTAGGGCACTTCCAGGAAGCCTATAACTCACACACAGATCCTTGGTCTCCATGGAAACTCTCAAGGCTTGCCTAGCCTGGTCCAATCAAATTCGGGCCAGAGGCCTTACTATGGCAGAAAAGCATTTCCTCGAGTTACAATGGTGCTACTGTGAGGATAAACAGCAGACAGCTTGCTAAATGTGAAGAGTGTAAATTCAAGGGACATGCTATAAAATCGGGTTCAATGGACTGAGCAGCAACAGGCTGAGTTTTACAGTTTGGACAAAATTAATCTGGACATTTGGTGCTTCTTTATTTTTGCACTGGCTCTACAAGGCTAATGCAGCTAACAAGTAATGAAAGCTTATAGCCACTAGTTTCTCAAGCTCCAGCCGACTTGCTTATGTGTTTCCCAGCACTGCACAACATGCTGTTTTCTATAAAAACAAACAAAATCTAGGGTAAGGAGAAATTTGAGTAAATTTAATCTTTGGACAAACCATTGTTTTAAGGTAGTCCTGAGCTGAACCCAATTTCCATCATTTGCACTTAGCACTGCTTTAAAGTGAGCCAAAGTTGCTAATGCAAGACTCCAGTGGCACAGTCCTCAGGTTTCCATGGGGAGGCTCTGCTTTTAGAGAGCAATTAACTGGAGGCCAGGGACCTGTCTCACCAAGCACGTTCAACCTTCTCCTTAATCCACCCCCCCCCACACACAATAATTTTATTTCATTTTATTTGGCTGATTAAAATCTTAATTTCTTCATTAGGTCTTAATTATATTATGATTATTAATTATAATCGTTATTGTTAGAAATTTTTGTCTGCCTTATTTATGCTTTTGTCAACTTATTAATGTTGAAATGTATTAATGTGTTTTAACTACATCTTGGTTTTATTTGTTTTATTGTTCCCCTTCCTAATTAAATCTTCATTGTTCTTAATTTTTTCCCCTTTTTATCTTGGCGCTGTAAATGCTCGGCTGCACTGAAAATTAGGGCCACCATCCATATATTTTCAAGTGAAAACTAAGGTTGACTGAACTCTCCTGACTAAAGCTGGCAGTATACTTTAAGCAACTAAAGAACTACAAGAAACTGAACTGCTGAAAATGTTGTCGTAAAAGGAATCCCAACTGGTAAGACATGTATGCCTTAAAATTGTGTTGAATACTATTAACATATGATGTATAAACCACATGGAAATGTTTTGTTTATTAAAAAAAAGAGGTAAAATTCAAATTCAAGAGAATCAAAAAAATGTTTTTCTCTTGGGTGATATCATGCTCTAGCTAAAGTTGTAATGGCTAAATGATCAGTTCAGTTAGATCTTTACCTTGCTGTTCCTCACTCAGTGGACAAGAAAGCATTTAACGCAACAAAAATGGCAACCTACTAGTACAGGCATTTTGTCTATTTGTACAAATAAATAATGTAATTTGCTTGGTTTATACAACACTTTTTTAATAGTATTGGACATGTACACTACATTCAGGCCTACATGTCTTAACACTCAGGGTTTCCCTTAATAATTCCATGTACGTCTTAGTGTCACTAGAAGCTCACTCCGTGCAGCAGACCAACCGAAGTCAGGGGAGGTCTCAGAACAAACGATGCAGTGATCAGCAGTTCTGCCAAACAAGCTGCGCACGCCCCACCGTCCTAACTCGACCCACCATCTTTCCGCCTCAAAACATTGTTGTTGTTTGACGTGTACTGCCGACTTAAAATTTAGCTTCACGAACCTAACAATGCAACTGCAGTGAACACGTTTTGTGTTAACAACTTAAGCTGCCATGGCAATGTATCCTGGTAAAAGTGATCCACTGTCATGAAACAGAAAGTCAAATTAAGCAATTTTAGCTGGCTAAGCAAGAAAATCCTGCTTCATGAGACACAATCAATCTGTTAAGACAATGGAGGACACTGCTGATGGCAATGCTGCCCTCCTAAAATTCATAAATGGTGCTCTAGATGTAAGAAACAAGAACCATTAACTTGACACAATTCTTTTGTTTACATTATTTATAAACAGTGGGGTTAAAAAAAGTCCTGCAACAGCTCATGAACAAGTAAACTCTTAAGCTCTTGGGGAATCTGAAAGGAACTGTCTTCCAGAATAAATATTTGTAAGTTAGATGTAAAAAAAACTACCCTACAGGCTGTAACGTTCAAGAAGTGCCAGTAATTCTACATCTGACCGTAAAACCCTCGCTTGCTCTTTTTGACAGTCAAATCAGCTGCATATTTGTTCAGGTCTCTGAAGAAGGTTTAGTTCCACATGGGATAGAAAACTTTTCCTTGAAATAAACAAGCAAACCAGTGTTCTGCAAGTCTTGGGACATAAATTATATAAAAGTAAATCACATATTAATAAAACAGAACAGTAAATAAAACAAAATTAGTTATTATTATATAGACCGCCCCTGGGGTACGTCCGTCAAGTATCCTGACCGGGTTCTGGATTGTGGATTGGAAAGATTCTTGGAATACCTAATGAAGTCGGTAGATTGCTGGATAAAATCCAATGCATAAGATCTTTGGCAGACCTGCTGGCCTGATAAAACTTTTGAAAAGCCTCCACTTAAAACTTGCATTATGAAAAGAAACAAATTATTTTTTAAAAAGAAGCTGAAATCCTGCCTTCAACTTAAATGAAAACTCCAGCATTTTTCAACCTACCAGCTATCTGCTGCATCTCTATTGTATGAACAAATATTGACACGTTTCCCCATACAAGCCTAAAGCCATCAAAGCCAATGAGCTGTTGTTTCAGTACTTGTCCACTGCCTTCTATTATTATTATGCCCTCTATTATAAGTGTTTTTTGAGAAAACAGGTTCTTTTGTAAGTACAGGTAAAGGTGTCCTTAGTAGTCCACTGTATGAAACCGAAACGGCAGACGGAGATTAGGTTAAGAGGTGTCTCTTTTAATGGATCAGTGATCCTAATGGGTATAATGTTAATCAATGTCTTATTGTAGTCTTTTATATTTATTCATAGTTTGATTTTTCAAGAAGTCTACTGAGTCTGCAAGAGTTTAAAATTATAAATTATTACCCAACTCTGAACAACTGCTAATCAAAATTTACTTTGTTTAACATTCATGGTTTGTAATCAGCAATGTCTACTGGCTTGGCGAGAGTTAGCGAGCTTAGCATCTGCAATAAGAAACTGACTCACTGAGCGTCTGACTAATCAGAAAGTGAGAGTGAGTGACCTTCAAACGAATGACAGAAGTTTGGCACTGTGTGAACTCTTGGCAGGAACTAGGAAACAGTGTTGGGGGGAGAATGGGGTCAAACCCAGGAAAAAAAAACAGTTATAAAGTTAAAAGGGAAGGGTGCAGGTTCTGAGGCGTCCTGGGACGAGCTGGAGTAGGAGCTGGAAGAGGTGTGATGAATTTACCTGTGCCACCCCTGTGACTGTAAGAGCCACACCCTCGGCTGTCTCAACATCCTCACACTTGGGCTGCAGGGTCATAATCTCTAGGGTTATCCTGTTGGGAGACGCAAAGAAAGGGAAGAACAAAACGAAAAAAAGTTTGGCTATGGTCTAAGGGAAGGAATGGAGGGGACAGAAGGAAGGAAAGAAAAGAAGGCAGATAAAAGAACACAAAAATAACACAAATATGGAAAACAACACAAATCTGGCGGCATAGATTTTACAAAAAAACAACAAGAAAGCAGTCATTCACTCCAAACAGTTGATCCACTGTGCACTGACTGTAGACTTTGATGGAACGACTGGGTTAATATAAAGTGATTTAAATGCTTATATCACCAAATTAGGCAGTAAATTGTACAGGAATGCACCGATATTGAATTTCTGAGCCAATACTATAAGCGATAACACCGAAATTAAATGATAATTGTACTTTTTAACTTTAAAACAAGTTCACACTAATTCATCGACTTTAGAATAGGTTATAACTCTAAAGGTTGATCACTGAGCTAGTAATAGGACACTAAACTATCCAATATAATTATTGGCTATAATTTCAATACATTTTACCATTTATCAATTTATATTTTAGCTACTGACATATCAGGCAGCACTAATTTTATATTAAACATTTATGAGTAGAAAAAAAAATACATCCAATTGTTTAAGCCAAAAGACGTCTCTTTAGTCTAGTGAATGTGATCAATATCAATGAGAAATTTATTTTTTAAATCACACTATAATCCACTGAGTGTGAGACAAGTTAAAACTCAATGTATTTGGCATACACTAAATTAACTTTACATACAATAAAATTATGAGATGTAACTGCCAGCCATCATAAAAAAGTCCCATTTATCGATTAATATTAAACCGTTGATATATTGTGCAGCCCTTTATATTAAACCTTTGAAAACCAACTTGAAAAACTAATAGCCAATTGTTTTAACCAATTCACCCCAATAAATGTGTGTGATCAAGCAAAACTGACCACCAAAGCCGTTTAGCCAGTGCACAGGGAGTTCAGCACAAGTTCAGCATGAAAGTGCACCAAAAGCCAAAAGCAGGTTAGTGACGGCTGACTCTCTCTCCACTTCACTGCAGAAGAAGACAAACATATAAAACAGCACTCGTATGTGACCGCGTGTGTGTGTGTGTGTGTGTGTGTGTGTGTGTGTGTGTGTGTGTATAAATGCACAGACCAGGGACACACAGACCAGCACACACTCGAATCAGCGAACAGATCTCCAAATACGACCTCTGATGCTTTGACTTATTTTGCCTTCAACTACCCTATCTCTACCATCACTTAGTGCGGAGTCAGTTTGTCTGTTGTTTTTTGGTTTTTATTTTTGGCTAGCTTGGACTGGTTGCATTACCTGAGCCACCCCCGTCACATCCAGGGGGACGCCCTCCGAGGTCTCGATATTTTCACAGCGACACAGGATGGTCATTACTTCCAGAGAAAGTCTACACAGGCAGGCAGGCAGGCGGATAGGAAAGGAAGGAAGGAGGGGTAACAGGAGAGGCATGACAGCACAATATTATCAAAGAAATAAAATAATCATTTTAGGGTGGGGGAGCATAGGGGGTTAGGGGAGTAGGATTGCAACTGCTGTCCTATATCCATCATCATCGTGTATCTCCTGAAGCAAAAGATCAACAAATTTTAATCTGCGCTGAAAAATGTGCCATGAAAACTAAAGGTCCTGTATTACGACATTACATATCGCGGCGTTCGAGGCGAGGCTCTTGATTTAATACGCATGGGCATCACACAATACATTCAACTGACTGGAAGTAAATAAAACACTAATTTTAATACTGCTTATATTGTACACTAAAAACATTGAACAAGCAAGCCCAAAACCCCACTTTACCTCAAAATCTAATCTTGGACTGTTGGGTTGGGGGGCTGCAGGGGGAGGGGTGAGCACACTCCTTGTACCTCCTCATACCTAGTACCCTTGAGGGTATTTTAGCTCCCGGCTAGAGTGTTAGCCTGGGGCTAAAGTATTAGCTCAATGCACCCCTAATGAAAACCTAATCCAATATCTCTTAATAAGTCTGGTTGATGCCTCAATGTTAACAAGACTACTTGCAATTAACCAAGCTTGGCTTGAGAGTAAGGCTCAATCAATATGGACATTTTGACACTGATGCCAATTTTAGGGAGCCAAACATTTTTAGCCAGTATAATTTATGTGGTTAAAAATAAAAATGTTTAGTTAATCTGGTTTTATCACCTACACAAAGGTTGGTGTTTGGTTGGTGTTTGATAATGATGATACTTGATAATGTCAGCTTGCACATCTTTAAAACAACAATTAATATATTATTGTAGGTGATATTTATCGCACACCACTAGTTCAGACTACTGAACATGGCTTAATTACGACTGGGTTTATCGTTCAAATCATAAACTAATCAACAAGTTCATTCATTGAGAATGTGCATTTTAATCAATTAGCATTTTTAACCATGTAATCCATTTTAATCAAGTGATCCTGACAGCCCTAATACTGAACATAATCAATGCATAATCTCTCTTTAACCACACTGGTTAAAACAGCAGATGTCTCCATAACACACACAGTCATACACACCTCCACACCATGACCAGCATCACAGCAATACAAGTACAGATCCACAAGAGACATGAAATTTTAAGGCACAGATACAACAACAGCTCCCTGTCACTCTGCAGCTCCCACATTAAAAAAAAAATCTACAAAAGTAGTTGAAGCATTGCTTAGTGGTGCTGAGCTGCACTCCACAGCTGGAACGCAGGTTTGAGTTGCAGCTTTGTCATGTGTCAATCACTGGCACAGATGGGCATCTCATGGTCACGCGGAAGAGCTGAGCGTTTTCTAATTATCCTCCATGCACAGGCGCTGAGGAGCTCGATAAGACTGGCTACACTCATATGTCAGTACAACATTCTTATGAATAAACACCCATAACTAAATCAGTAATACATAAGCAAAGTAAAAGTAAAAGTAAAAGAAAAAAAAATAAAATAAAATAAATAAATAAATAAATAAATAAAAATATATATATATATATATATTTATATATATATATATATATGTGTGTGTGTGTATATATGTGTGTATATATATATATATATATATATATACACACATACACACATTTTTTTTTAAGCAGGTATTACATTTGCTTTGCTTATGTATATTCGGAACTGGGGGTGCATGATATATTGGCAGCCTGTATACACACTTAAAAATGTTGGTTCTGCAAGGGTTCCTTACTAACAACAGAAGAACCCTTTTTGGTGCTTTAATCATGCAAAGGGTTCTTCGAGTGTTCATGGTTCTATGTAGAACCATTTTCTTTACTAAAAAAAACACTGAAGAACCATCATTGGTAAGTGTGTATTGTTTGCTGCTAAATGAGGACGTTTTTATCAGTCTGATATTGGAATTACGGCCTATAATTACAACCGATAACTTGGTGTTCTATTTTTAGCTTGCACACTCACTGATGCACATACTCCCACTAGTGTTTTCCATTCTTTACACCTCACTCAAATGGTGTAATACACCCCAACCGCCCCACCCACAGAAGACCAGAGTTTGATTCCTGGTGTATAATCGTTTAAAATTTCCATTTCAATGCCATACTCATATGTTCCATATATGTAAGGTTTGGAATCACTTGACAAATTAACCGTAGTTTGTAATGTTATACACAGTGATACCTTAGAGATTTAAATATAACAAACCAGACATCAAAATGCATTTTGATCAACAAGAATACTTTAATTGATAAGTAATACACGGTAATTTTCTGTTTACTGTCAAGTTATCTGTGAGACTTGATCATTACTTTTGAAAAATTAGGCATTCTGGATATTATTTTTATAAGTAAAGATGCACAGATCAAACATATTAGCATCATGTAATGCCTTTTTTCTGCAACAAATTTGGTTTATTTATTGAAAACATTGCTTCCAGACTTTTGAGCTTCAGTGCACAGCAATTAGTTCAGGAGGAAGTGAATCTGAACACCTGCAAATCAAATAAACTACCACGAGTGTTAGCAGATTTACTTGGTGCTTTTCTTAGATCAGTCACACTGTGTTTAGACACACTAGGATTGGATTAGAGGGCTTTCATAAAGAGCAATGCAATGTTTACTCATCATGAATCTTAGGTTATCAAAAATTACCCAGACTAAACTGGGAATCCCTAAGCAAGTGTGAAAGATCACTAAATATCAGTGTGTAGAGCACTAAATACTTGCTTCAGTCTCATGGTAACAGTATATCAGAGTATAGCCTAACCATGGTGACAGCACCACAATGAGTCTAAACTTGTGTAAGGTTACTGTTTAAGGAAAACTGGTTAATCATTATCATTCCCTACTAAAGGCAGCAGTTGCTCTCACACTGCTTGAGTGCCATTTCATGTCAAATAAAAGGGTCTTTAAGACCACACCACAGACTTACCTTTTATTATCTGTCACTTCTGCAGATATTTAGCTTGGAAAACATTTGAATATTAGAAAAAATATATCAGATGGCATAAATGCCTGCTTGAACTATGACTACCTCAAATATGAGTGATTATATGATTCATTTTAGCCACATTTTATTTGAGAACTGAATTTCTATTTGTCTTATTTGTTCTAATTTCTTCATAACCTAAGATTCACAATGAGTAAACACTGCATTGCTCTTCACGAAAGCTCTCTAATCCAAATGTATGTGTCAGTGTGACTGATCTAAGAAAAGCACCAAGCAAATCTGCTAACACTCGTGGTAGTTTATTTAGTTTGCAGGTGTTCAGATTCACATCCTCCCTTATTTTAACTGAACTAATTGCTATGCCATACAGTTAAAAAGTCTGAAAGTAATGCTGTCACTAAATAAACCAACTTGGTTGCTGAAAAAAATTATAAAAAGATTCTAATGTGTAAGCTACAAAGCTCTAAAATAAAACACAATTTTACAGAATGAAGAAAATAAAATACCCAGAACATCAAATTTTTCAAAATTAATGATCAAATCTTACAGCGGATAACTTGACAAGA